AAAAAAAAAAAAAAAAAAAAAAAAAAAAAAAAAAAGTGGTACTCTCCCCAGTTCTTTCCTAGACATAATTTTAAAATCTGATTGCTGTCTTTGGCTCCATGCCTGTCTCTCTTAGTTGGTGGTGCCTAACTAGCTTGCGTAAGAAGACCATATTCTTTTTTTTTTTTTTTAGATGAAGTTTCCCTCTTGTTGCCCAGGCTAGAGTGCAATGGTGCGATCTTGGCTCATTGCAATCTCTACTGCCTAGGTTCAAGCGATTCTTCTACCCCAGCCTCCTGAGTAGCTGAGATTATAGGCACCCCACCACCATGTCTGGCTAATTTTTCTATATGTGGTAGAGGTGGGGGTTTCACCATGTTGACCAGGCTGGTCTTGAATTCCTGACCTCAGGTGATGCACCCGCCTCAGCCTCCCAAAGTGCTGGGGTTATAGGCGCGAGCCACCACGCCTGGCCAAGAAACATATTTTACTAGATCTTTTCCACATGGTCAGGTTGTAATGGACATTTGTTGCTCAAAACCTCTATCAGGTTTATCTCTTGTTTTTAGGACATAGATGAAGCCAGCTTTTTCAATCTTGCAAAATCTTACCTACTTGGATTTTTTTGAATCAGGGTCTTGCTGTGTCACTTGGGCTAGAGTGCAATAGTGAGATCATAGCTCACTGTAACCTCAAACTCTTGGGCTCCAGCAATCCTCCCACCTCAGCCTCCCAGTAGCTAGGATCACAGGTGTATGCCTCTACACTCGGTTAATTAAAAATAATTTTTTTTTAGAGATGGGGTCTTGCAATGTTGCCCAGGCTTATCTTGAATTCTTGGCCTCAAGCAGTTCTCCTGCCAAAGCCTTCCAAAGTGTTAGTATTGCAGGTGTGAGCCACTGCACCCAGCCTGGATTTTTAAATTCTCTTTATTTCTGTTTGCAAAAAGACCAATTCCTTGTGCTTGTCTTTTTCTTATAACATCTAATTAAATGCAGCCAGTAGCAACAAACAGAACAGAATGTGCTGCTGGCATTCTATTTTACCTCCTCTTTGCTAGAGCTCAGCAGACTTACTAGGCCTATGTTCTATCTTCCAGGTCACTGAAGACAATTGTTTAAACAGATGTTTTGCTAGTCAGACTATTTCTGCAGCAATAAATATCATTTACTAATTTTACTTTTAAATTGTATATTCATTTATTTCTACATATTTATTCACTCACAGCATGAGAAACAAACATAAAACTCTATCACTCAAAAAACTCTAGTTTGTTTTTAATTTTGAGAAATATTATCTGTGTAGTAAAATACAATATTCATATTCCCACCACCCATACTGTAAAAGTAATTATTTTGTCTTATTTGTTTCCTGCGTTTCCTTTCCCATTCTATAAACAGATAATATTGCCTGTAATCTCACCCCAAGCAGGGTCTGGAGAGACTAGCTCTAGGTGACAGAAGTGCCAGAGAAACAGGAAACTCATACTAAATGCCAGGAAGGTGAGGGGAAAGTTAATCCCCAAACTCAGCGACTTTTTTCTCTTTCATTTTTTTTTGTTTGTTTGTTTTGTTTTTGTGACAGAGTCTTGCTCTGGAGTGCAGTGGCACGATCTCAGCCTACCGCAACCTTGGCCTCCCAGGGTTCCAATGATTCTTCTGCCTCAGGCTCCCAAGTAGCTGGGATTACAGGCACATGCTACCATGTGTGGCTAATTTTTGTATGTTTAGTAGAGATGGGGTTTCACCATGTTGGCCAAGCTGGTCTCGAACTCCTGACCTTGTGATCCCCCTGCCTCAGCCTCCCAAAGGGCTGGGATTACAGGCGTGAGCCACCACACCCAGCTTCTTTTGTTTTTGAGACAGTCTCACTCGGTTACCCAGGCTGGAGTGCAGTGGCACAATCATGGCTCACCACAGCCTTGACTTCCTAGGCTCAGGGGATCCTCCCACCTCAGCCTCCCAAGTAGCCAAGACTACAGGTGCCCACCACTGCATTCGGCTAATTTTTGTATTTTTTGTAGAGATGGGATTTCACCATGTTGCCGAGGTTGGTCTCAAACTCCTGGGCTCATGCGATCTGCCCACCTTGGCCTTCCAAAGTGCTAGGATTACAGATGTGAGCCACAGCACCCGGTTCCCTGATTCTTTTTTTTAAAAAAAAAATTGTAAATATTAGAGATGAGGGGGTCTTGCTACGTTGCCTAGGCTGGTCTTGAACTTACAACCTCAAGCAATCCTCTAGCCTAGGCCTCCTAAAGTACTAGAATTACAGGCGCGAGACAACACACCTGGCAAATACGGAATGCTTCACAAATTTGTGTGTCATCCTTCCACATGGGCAATGCTAATCTTTGTATCATTCCATTTTTTTTCCAGTAAATATGCTGTCAAAGCAAGCATGGAAACCTCAGCTTCCAGGGGCATATCATAACCTTTCCCCATTTTCACCCAGGTTTTCATGGACCACAAACCGACATACAGTTAATTCCCTGTATCTGTGGGTTCCACATCTGAGTGAGTCAACCAACTGGGGATCAAAAATATTCAGAAAAAAAAATACAATTTTTGTGTAAAATTCACCATCATGGGGAAAAAAACAACAATAAAAAATAATACAAAATTTAAAAACACAGAACAATAAATACAAAATTTTAAAATACAGTATAACAACTATTTACATAGTATTTGCATAGCATCAGGTATTATAACTAATCTAGAGATGACTTAAAGTACGTGGGAGTATGTGCATAGGTTATATAGAAGGCACTTAAGCATCTTCAGATTTTGTTATCTGTACACAGCCTTGGAATCAATCCCCTGTGGATACTAAGAAATGGCTGTAACCATTTTCACCCTTTCCTGAAGGACTGCTGTTCAAGCAAACTTTAATATGTAGCAAAATCACCTGAAGGGCACAGATTGCTAGCCCTACCTAAGTGTTCCTGACTTAATATGTCTGAGGTTGGACCCAAGAATTTTCATTCCCCCAAGTTCCCAGCAGATGCCAATGCTGGTGGTCCAGACACCGCACATGAGAACCGCTCTATCCATTCACCAGGAGTAGGTACTAGAGACAGATCCTCTCTGCCTATCTAGAGACACAAGATGAGAGATCTTGTCCCCTAGCGGTGAACTCTTGCTCTAAAGACAGGTCAACTCTGGTATCAAGCTCCAGCTGGCTAAAAGCTAAAGGGTGAATTTTTCTCCTCATCTTCATTAGCAGCATCTGTGAATCTCCTTCCTTGTGAAGTTTCTAGTTGGCCCCATAAATGCTGGGAATAGGCTTCTCCCCGGTGTGGACCTTCACTCAGAGATGAGCAGACAGCACGTGCCCAGTGCGGTGTGTCAGGAAAGGCATGGGCAAGTGACACAGTCCCTGAGCTTCACTTTCCCCATATTCATAACACGAGACAATGATACCCACATACTACAGGGTTGCTGAAAAGAGTAAACGGGAATAGTGTGAGCAGGAGTCCCATGTTAACTATAAAGTACCTTAGAAATAATAATGATTACAGATTCAGGTCAGATTTGCACCTTAACAATTAACTGTGGTTTCTTTTTTTCCCCCCACGTCTAGTGATTTTTATTTTTTGTTTTTAAGGCTTTTTTCGCCCTTCCCCCAGAAATAGGCCTTTAACTTTGAGCCCCAGTGTTACTGATTGTGACTCATTTTGGAAAGAAAAAATCAATGATACTTATTAAAGCACAGTAAAACAGATTTTATTCAGGACCATCAAGAATAGGTATAGCAACCATGGCAAAGGGATTCTGAATTAGAGAGAGAGTGGGCTCAATTCTAAATACAGCATGGATAAGTGGGAATTTACAGCCAAGGAACAGAAGCCTAGGGTCACTGGATGGAAAATTACTAAGAAGTAACTTCAGAGTAAAGAAGTTTCTTGCTGAAAATAGGTTAAGCTGATCAAACATCAGCTGGGGATGGTAGAGGATGAGGAGCCTGATCAGATATTCAGAGTGGAGGGTTCTAACTGGATTTTCCAAGGAAATGCACAGATAAACCTACAAGAAGTTTCAGGAGTCTGACTAAAGTTTGGCCAAGCAAAGAATCGTTGTCACCTTCCATTGGTGTATCCAAACACTTAAAACTCAAGCTACTCATTACTATCTTTAGGCTCTAAAAAGAAAAGAGAAAAACAATCAAGGGACATGGCATTATTCTTTTACATTAGTAAATCCAAAGTCATTTTCTCAATCTCAGCAGTCAAGAATGAAAAAAATTATTTCTAAATAATAAAATGAAAAGCAACAAACAGTTTACCACTGGTTATCACTGAGCTAAGGTTTTGCAGCCCCATTTTACCCCCTCTCCATTTGCTCTTTGCCATTTGAACCTTAGGTTCAGTCACAGAATCTCCCCAGTACTGAGGCAGATGGAGAGAAAAAAAAAAAAAACGGAGCTATCCATTGAAGGTGCGGAGGAGGGGAGACCACTGCAGATTTTGGCAAAGATCCCTTGGCATTTGCTGTATAGTAAGTCATCCTTTCTTCCCTTGCCATCTTGCGGTTGTGTCGGGTAGTGATTCTATTCCTGCTATGTTGGAGGAAACTACCCAGTCCGTAGTCCAAAGACCTGGATGCAGTTTTAATTCTACCACTTCCTAGCTGTGCCACCTTGAAGCCATCATTTAACTTCCTCCGTTTTCACATCTGCGAAATACATCTACCACTATTTGCCTCATGGAATTGTTTTGGATCATACGCCCCATGCATGCCTGGTATAAGGCAAGTGTAAACTATCTATTGAGGAAATCCTTTCTTTCCCTGGCTTTTTTCAATACTAAAAGAGTATTCTTGGCCTGTGATCCTACCTCCTGAACCGACGGAGCTGGGCTTACTTGCAGCGGAGACTAGGCCCGCCCCAGCGAAGCACTCAACCCTGAACCCACCAAAGCTTTCCCTGGAACCCCACCGCCTACGGACCGCCCACTTCCACTTTTGACATTTCCGCCCCTTGGCGTCGCCGATGATGGCGTCACTTCCGCCGGAAAAGGCGAGCGAGGCCGCGCGGTTGGCGCGAAAGTCGGTTCCAGTACTCGGCAATTTCCGGGGTCGCTAGCGTTTGCTTTGGGCTAAGGGCGGCGCCGAGTCGGGGGAGGGGGCTGTGCGCCGGGCTGGCGCCCGACCCCAGTCACCGTTCTGCGGGCAGCGAGTCCCCCGACTCGCCGCCCGGAGACCCCCAGGCTCCAACGAGGTAAGTGAGGCGCGGAGTGGGGACTCAGCTCCTCCTCGGCCCCAACTGGGGTTCGCGATACCTTGTGTGGCCTTCGGGGCCCTCTTTTCCTGTCCTGGTAACTGGCTCTGGGACCGGCGGGTGGGCCTTTGACGCCGAGAGGACGTGGCTTCCCTGATCCCAAAGCCGGGCCTTTTCCTGGAGCTGGGAACCGGAGCATCTAGCCTTATGCGGGGGCATGACTATGCTAACTGGCTTCCATGTTTATATTTAAAATCCATTTACTGAGGGACGAACGAACCTAGCAGGCCGTGGGCATCCGCAAGGACAGATGCACTCTGTGTATCCTTAAAACAAGTGCAGTTGAGTGTCCACTGACAATTGAATGTCCGTCCCTAAAGGGCTTAGAGCCTTCATAGCAGGGCCCTTCTCAATGTATTCAATTCGAGAACGTTAATTTTGCCCTCTGATTTGCAAGGATTGGTGGTGTCATCTTTTTCCTTGACTTTGCCCACATTCCAGAGTTTCTTAACAAATGCCTTTGATGAATTCACGGGCAGAGCCGGAATGTCTATCTTTAGGCGTTCTTGCCTGCACAGAAAAATAGGTGGGTTAAACATGCAACTTTATACCTAATGCGGTTTTGTTCTTGTTAATGGTTCCTTTGACAGTTCAGAAATGTCCAGAAATGACAAAGAACCGTTTTTTGTGAAGTTTTTAAAGTCTTCAGACAATTCCAAATGTTTTTTTAAAGCTCTCGAGGTAAGAGTTGAAAACATCTTAATACCACGAATTAATTTCCTTGTTTTTAAGTGTTTTTGATTTGTTGGGCGTTATGTCTTAGATATTTCACTTTCATAATTGTATAGTCTACATTAATACAGATATATCATTGTTACATATTTTTGAATTGATCTAAGTACATCATTATGTGTTTCATGGGGTTCGAAGTCTATTCCGCATTACTGTTTAATGTGGGTGACCTGCAGTTCTTGGAAACTTGGACTTTGCAGTTCTTTCGTTTGTCTCCTAACCAGAGTGGTCCTTAACGTGGTGTAAAAATTTGAGTCAGTACTGTACTGGTCATAGCTCAGATTTTTTGGTTAATTGTTAAAAGTTATGTTTTATAATGTACAGCATAATAATTGGATGATAGTAGGGGTGATGTAGAGCCTTGCTTCTCACAGATCACAGCAGTATCAACCTGTCCTGGAATGCCAAATCTTGGGCTCCAACCCAGACTTATCCATTAGAATCTGCATTTTTAACAATATCTTCAGCGTGCATTAAAGTTTGAGAACTATTTGTAGCAGATTTTTTTCAACTTCATTCATTCAGCAAATATTTATTGAGTCTTCATGATTCAACAGGCACTTCTTTAGTACTTGGGATACATCAGTGATGAGAACAGGCAAAGATTTCTTTTCTCTCAGAGCTTATAGTCTAGCAGGAGGAAATAGACACTAATCAGACATGATAAATTAGAAAGAAAAGCAAACCAGGTTAAGGGGTTCCAGAAGATGTTTCTTGGGGGTGAGGAGAGGAGGGTGTTATAATGTTAAATAGAATGTGACCAGGGAAGGCTTTATGGAGAAAAGGATATTTGAGTAAACGTAAAGGAGGTGAGATAGCCTTGCAGGTATCTGGAGAAGAATGTTTCAGGCAGAGAGAGCAACGTTATACAGCCCCTGGGAAAGTGTCTGTAGTCTCTGTCCAAGTTTAGTGTACTGTTGTGTAGTGAGTGAGGGATGGGGAACAAGTACTAAGGAATGCTTCAGAGAATAGTGGTAAAGAGGTCATGTAGGGCCCTGTGGGCCATTTTTCTCTCAGTGAAATGGAGAGCCATTGGAAGGTTTTAATCAAAAGAGTAAACATGATCTGACTTACAGTTTTAAAGAGTTTATTGTATTAAAGTAAGGACTTCAAAATTGGTTCAGAAAATTTTTGAGGGCTTACTGGTTGTCAGGATATAGTAGCAAACAAGATACTAAATGAAACTTCCAGGGGAGAGAGACAAAAATTATAAATATAAATATATATATATATTAAATAGACTAAAAGGATAGGGGAAGGGTATTTGAGAAAGCATGGTTAGGATAGGCATCTCTGGGGAGGTGACATTTAAGCACACCTGATTGAAGTGGGGAATTAAGTCAGGTGAAAACCTGGGAAAAGAGTATTCCCTGCTGAAAGATCAAGAGCAGAGCCTCTAAATGAGGTTATGGTTGGCTTCTTCCAGGCTTGGCAAGAAAGCAGGAGTGGCTGGAGTAAGCAAGAGAGATGAGAAGTAGGAGGTAAAGGTGGGAAGATAGGCAAGAGCCACACTGTGTTGTCTTGAAGATCATGGTAAGAAATGTGGATTTTATTCTGGGTGCGGTGGAAAAACAGTAGGTTTTGAGCAGAGAGTGACATTGTCTGACTTGTATTTTTTTAAAGATTGTTAACTGCTGTGTAGAGAACAGATTTAGGGCAAGGAAAGGAGAAAGAGACCACTTGGGAGGCTTCTGCAGAGGTGTAGGTGAGATGTAATGGTGGCTTTCGATAGGTAAAAGGCTGGATTTGAGATGGAATTTCAATAGGACCTAAATACAGGGGAGTAATTTCAGGTACATTCTTATTTTTTCTTTTAGTCAATAAAAGAATTCCAGTCAGAAGAATATCTTCAGATTATTACAGAAGAAGAGGCATTGAAAATAAAGGAGAATGATAGATCACTTTATATCTGTGACCCTTTTAGTGGCATTGTCTTTAATCACCTCAAAAAGGTTTGTTAACTTCTAGTGTGTTCCTTTGATAGTCTGTTTTTTGGTTTATCTTTGCTTCAGTGGACATACATTCTTTACTGATCATGAGGTATTATGCAACTTATGAGTACATTGGAGTTCTTTTGGTTTGGGAAGACCAGGATTGAAAGGCTAATTTTGTTACAATAGGCATTTTTTTTTTTTAAAGACAGTCTTGTTCTGTTGCCCAGGCTGGAGTGTAGTGGCCTGATCTTGGCCCTCTGCAACTTCTGCTTCCCAGGTTCAAGTGATTCTTGTGCCTTAGTCTCCCGAATATTTGGGATTACAGATGTTTAATGCCACACCTGGCTAATTTTTATATTTTTAATAGAGACGGGGTTTCTTGATGTTGGCCAGGCTGGTCTTGAACTCCTGGGCTTGAGTGGTCTTGTCACCTCAGCCTTCCAAAGTATTGGGCTTACAAGTGTAAGCACTAAGGCAGTTTTGAGTGAAAGGGGCTCTTGAATTTTATTTCTTTTCCTTTTTTCTTTTCTTTCTTTCTTTCTTTTTTTTTTTTTTTTTTTCTTTTTGAGGCTAGTTCTCACTCTGTCTCCCAGGCTAGAGTGCAGTGACGTGATCTCGGCTCACTGCAACCTCCGCCCCTGGGTTCAGCAATTCTTCTGCCTCAACCTCCCTAGTAGCTGGGACTACAGGTGCCTGCCACCACGCCTAGCTAATTTTTGTAGTTTTAGTAGAAATGGGGTTTCACCATGTTGGCTAGGCTGGTCTCAAACTCCTGACCTCAGGTGATCCACCCACCCTGGCCTCCCAAACTGCTGGGATTATAGGCGTGAGCCACTGTGCCTGACCTGAAGTTTATTTCTTTTGATAGCTTGCATTGTTTGGTTTGCTTTTGTGTGTGTTTAGTGTGTGGTATATCTGATAAATTATGTAATCTTATTTTTTTCTAATTCCAATTTGCTTTTTCTACAGTGCTCATCAACTTTGGTAAAGAATTGGTAAATGTTCCAAAATGTAATTTTTTAAGACTGTTGGTCTTTTCCTTCTTACCTCATTTAAACTTTTCTCTTTTTTGTAGCTTGGCTGCAGAATTGTTGGTCCTCAAGTAGTCATATTTTGTATGCACCACCAGCGATGTGTCCCAAGAGCCGAACATCCAGTTTATAATATGGTTATGTCTGATGTAACAATATCTTGTACAAGTCTGGAAAAAGAAAAAAGGGTAGATGTTGACCTCATCGTGAATGATCAGTCTCTCTCTTCCGATACTTAATTTTTCACTGCATAGAAGATAACTTAAAAGACCTTCCACTTATTGTTCATGACTTTTAAGAAAGTTCAATTTACAACCACAGTGTGTATATATGTATATATTTATATAAATATATAATGTGTGTGTGTGTGTATATATACACACACACACACACACACTCTTTTTAAATTGTACTTTAGGTTCTGGGGTATATGTACAGATCATGCAGGATTGTTGCATAGGTACATACATGGCAATGTATACACACATTTTTTAAATATATTGAATATAGTGGAATTTTTGTTGAAAACTGGCTAATTGAAATTTTTTGTTTTAATTTAAAAAGACACTCATTTTTTAATCACTTAGATTTTTCCACTATAGGTGGATAGTCTTTTAAAAAATGGTTCTAAATCGCTTGACTCAGGGAGGCAGAGGTGGCAGTGAGCCAAGAATCATGCCACTGCACTGCAGCCTGGGCAACAGAGCAAGACTCTGTCTCAAAAAAAAAAAAAAATGAAAAAGGATTCTAAGAGAGCCATAGAAGTACATATATATATTTGAGACAGGGTCTTAACTATGTCATCCAGGCTGGAGTGCAGTGGCACAATCACAACTCACTACAACCTTGATCTCCTGGGCTCAAGTAATCCTCATGTTTCAGCCTCCAGAGTAGCTGGAACTGCAGACATGTACCACCAAGTCTGGCTAAAAATACATATTTATATATCATATAGATATAATTTATGTTAAAAATACACATGTATATTAAAATATACAGAAGCAAAGATTATGTATTCTTTGTATAATAGTTTAATACACTCATTGAGTTGAAAGGAATAAATATAGGAAAATATTTTTAAATATAACTCGTATTTATCTTCCAAAAAATAATTTGGTTAATTATCTAACTGTAATTGTGTGTAACATTTATGTATTTAAACTATCAAAAGCAAAATGTATTTTTGATATAGTGTATAAAAATGGAAGCACTATTGTTTGTGTCAGTATTAATATATTCTCTTTTGGGGCTGCAGGAAGAAGTTCATAGATATGTACAAATGATGGGCGGACGAGTATACAGAGACCTTAACATATCAGTTACTCACCTTATTGCAGGAGAAGTTGGTAGCAAAAAATATTTAGTTGCTGCAAACCTGAAGAAACCTATTTTGCTTCCCTCCTGGATAAAAACACTTTGGGAGAAGTCACAAGAGAAGTAAGACATTTTTTATTTTCTAGATTTGAAAAAATTATGCATTCAATCATTTTTGGCATGTGATATACTCTTTGGATTTATTATTCAGGGAAAAAAATAGTGTCATTACTCTCTTTCTCCAGCAAAAACAGAAGAGCAAAATCTGCATGCTCTTATTACCAAGATGAAAGTTGACAGGCATTATAGAATGGGCTAAGGCCCTCGGGCCGCATGCGGCCCCCTGAGGCCATTTATGCGGCCCCCCGCCACACTTCAGGAAGGGGCACCTCTTTCATTGGTGGTCAGTGAGAGGAGCACAGTATGTGGCTGCCCTCCAACGGTCTGAGGGACAGTGAACTGGCCCCCTGTGTAAAAAGTTTGGGGACGCCTGGGCTAAAGGGTTAGCAGTAGCTACAGAGTAAGAAATGCTTTGGTGATAAAGTTCTCAGCTGTAAATGTTTCTGAAATAATAGAGAAAACCAGTTTGGCAAGTCTTTAGCTTTTATGTTGCATCATCCTTCAACACCATTCCCATATATTAAGATAGAGAATAAATTAGCCATGTTGGCAGTACATTCCTTCCAAAAGGGGGCATATGTAAGGTTTAATATAAACGTATGTAAGTCATCAGCTGAGATGTGATCATTTAATCAGTGTTAATTGAGCCCATTTTATGTATCTGACCTGAGCTAGGCATTAGATACATGTAGTAAGCAAAACAAGATAACATCCCTTCCCTCATGGAGCTTACAGGCTATTTCAAGGGGCACACTTAAATTTCCCCTGAAACTAGTTAAACAACCACAAGACCAAATACCACAGAATTCTATTGGCATACAAATTGTGTCAGCATTTTTCTGGGCTTGTTTTCAACACCATCCAGCATATCCTAAATGTCTCCATGTCAGCAACTCTCATTCCCAGTGTGATTACTTCAGCACATCTGCCTAGCATGGCAACAGAATAATGACATTTTTGTTGGCATTTTGCCAAAAATCATTGCTTTTACTTATACAGAATAATGGAAAGATCGAAAAGTTCATTTTTCTAACAGGCATCCAAAGTAACTTTGGGTTTCTAAGTAGAGCTTCAGACATATAATTTTGGAAAATATACCACTTTGACCAGCAAGGGCTTAGAGTTAAGGAAATGTATATTTTTCTTTTAAAACAGTTTTGAGAGACTATATCTGAAACAATTACTTTGTATTAAAACTTGTTATTGAGCTAGGTGAGCAATTGGTGTTATTCTGTTTGATAGTTCTCCTTTTTTAAAAAATGGTTATAAATCCTAAAAGATGAGGAAAACAGTAGTGATATTTGTGATGTTGTCATTATTATTCTAGTAAATTTAAAACTATCTGGTAAATGTAATATGTTCTTTTTAACCATTTGATTCCCACAGAAAAATAACTAGATATACTGATATAAACATGGAAGATTTCAAGTGTCCTGTTTTTCTTGGTTGCATAATCTGTGTGACTGGTTTAAGTGGCTTAGACCGGAAGGAAGTTCAGCAACTCACAGTTAAGCATGGAGGTCAATACATGGGACAATTGAAAATGAATGAATGTACACACCTCATTGTGCAAGAACCAAAAGGTAAAACTGTGTTTCACAAATGAACACATGAAACATTTTCTCTATTATTTAGTATTTTATTTTTTATTTACTTTTTGAAATAGAGTCTTGCTCTGTTTCCCAGGCTGGAGGGCAGTGGTGCAATCTCAGCTCACTGCAACCTCTGCCTCCCAGGTTTAAGCAATTCTCCTACCTCAGCCTTCTAAGCAGCTGGGGTTACAGACACCTGCCACCACACCTGACTAATTTTTGTATTTTTAGTGGAGATGGGGTTTCACCCATGTTGGCTAGGCTGGTCTCTAACTGACCTCAAGTGATCCACCTGTCTCAGCCCCCCAAAGTGCTGGAATTACAGACATGAGCCAACGTGCCCAGCCATTAGTATTTAGTATTTTAAAATCTTACAGAACAGCTTTTACTTCTGACATGTCATAAATCTAGTTTGATACAGTTTTTCCTAACATCTTGCAGAAGTCGTTTGGGTCACAGTCTAAACTGTATGACTTTTCTCATATTTATTCGTGTCATTTAATAACTATTTTAAAAAAAACCTTTTAGTGATGTTTTATATAAGCTTACTTTGCTATCTTTTGATTTAAAAAAAAATTCCTCACACAGTTACCAAATAATGAAAAGAAGTTTGGGTAAATAACAAGAAAACTCATAAATATAGCTAAATGGCATTTCTTTGTAATGATGAAAGTCTTGACTTAGTTTCACTTTGACTTGAATGAACTACAAGTTATAACTGGAAGACATGCCTTGCAGAACATGAGGCAGTAAGTGAAAAAGACATTACCAACCAAGAAAAATTCTTTAAAATTGTTTTTGAATTTGGTGTTCCATAACATTATTCTGGATAACTTTTTATCAGCACTCTTAAAATACACACAAATTGATAAAAGATGAGTTTTGTTAATGTTTTTGTTATTGCTCTTTTTATGTATACTGTGTTTTACTAAGCTTTCTAGACTGAGAAGTAATTAAGGTTAAATGGTAATTGTCCTTAAGTCAGAAATTTGGGTATGGCCAATTGCGATAGGAGGATTGTGAGTAGACTTGATACTGCTGTTCTTTTTCTGAATCTGAAGACAGTTCACTGTTGATTAACAAGAATGCCAGAAAACCTTTCATGTGACATACAGACTTCAGTTTCTCTGTGATACTGCTTCAAAATACATTGTGTTGAAGGTTTTTCAGGTAATAAAAAGATACATTTTTAACATAATTTATCTACTGGCTTATCTATCCTGGACTTTAAGTAGAAGCCTGTTGACATTGGAATCCAGTGTTCAAAATTGGGATTTATTGTATTACACACATTTACGATTTTCACATTATACAAGCTGGTTTAAAGAAATTAAGTGATGGAGCCTAAATGCAAACCAAAGTCCAATATTAATTGTTACCTCCTAGTTGCTCCTGTCTTCCTGCAGCTTGTATAAAAGATAAACCCCCTCACATGGCATGTGTATTTATACAACACGTGGAAAATTTAATTAGGCAATAAACTAAAGTACTACTTTGCAATAAACCATGTAGCGTACTGTTTAAGACTAAGTACTGGTAACTTAAATTTGGTTGATAGGTTTTTAAAACAACTTGTTATGGCTGGGAGCCTGGAGCTGTTGCTTATGCCTGTAATCCTAGCACTTTGGGAGGCTGAGGTGGACAGATTACAAGATGGAGTTTGAGACTAGCCTGGCCAACATGCTGAAACCCTGTCTCTACTAAAAATATAAAAAAATTCGCTGGGAGTGGTGACACATGCCTGTAATCCCAACTACTCAGGAGGCTGAGGCAGGAGAATCCCTTGAATCCAGGAGGTAGAAGTTGCAGTGAGCTGAGATCATGCCACTGCACTCCACCCTGGGCAACAGAGCAAGACTCTGTCTCAAAAACAAACAAAAATTAAGTAACCTGCTATAATTTGAACACTTCTGCAAAGATAGATTTTAATGGTTTTCATTTTTCTGTTTCTCTCATTTTCTGTTTCTTAATGAACACTGCAGGTCAGAAATATGAATGTGCCAAGAGATGGAATGTACACTGTGTGACCACGCAGTGGTTTTTTGACAGTGTTGAAAAAGGTTTTTGTCAGGATGAATCCATGTACAAGACAGAACCTATACCAGAAGTAAAGACTATGCCCAATTCTTCAACTCCTACTGGCCAGATCAACACAATTGATAGTGAGTCTCATTGAAATTAAAATAATCATTCTAAAGACAATCGTTTCTGTGTAATAATCGGTATATTAATAGGATCACTGAGATAGGCAATTTTTCTTTCTTGTTTGCTATGCTTCTAGGCAGAATTGCATAATAGTCAAATTGTATAAAAAGTTAGTACTGAACTGCTCCTAATTTTTTTTTGGAATGAATGATTGCTTTCTTTTTTTTTTTTTTTTTGAGACGGAGTTTCGCTCTTGTTACCCAGGCTGGAGTGCAATGGCGCGATCTCGGCTCACCGCAACCTCTGCCTCCTGGGTTCAGGCAATTCTCCTGCCTCAGCCTCCTGAGTAGCTGGGATTACAGGCATGTGCCACCATGCCCAGCTAATTTTTTGTATTTTTAGTAGAGACGGGGTTTCACCATGTTGACCAGGATGGTCTCGATCTCTTGACCTCGTGATCCACCCACCTCGGCCTCCCAAAGTGCTGGGATTACAGGCTTGAGCCACCGCGCCCGGCTGATTGCTTTCTTTTATACCCTGATGTCATGCAAAAGATGATCAAAGAAATTAAGAACAATAGTAGATAGAGGCTTAAGATAAAATTTACTGACATGCATATATTAATACGTTTCCTTGGTTTATGATTTTGCTGCAGTTGTTATAGATCATCTGTATTTGTATAAAAATTAAAACTGTGTCTATTTTGTAGGTGTCGTGTTGGCAAAATGTTAAAAATCTTTTCAAATGTGAGCTTCCTGGACCTTAAAGTCAGCAAATTCAGATTTTTATGGGAAACAAGACACTATTAAGAAAATGTGTCTTGTTTTCATTTAAATAAGATATGAGGTCTAATTAATTTCATATTCCCTTATTATACTTTTCCACTAAGATTTCAGTAAACATCTCTGCATCTTACTTGGGAAGTTATTTATTGTCCTTTTTATTTGTAAGAAAAGATAATCCATAGACAATATGTAATCACGATTATTTTATCTCCCATAAATTTATACATGTTTTCAAAATATGTAGGTCGTACTCTTTCAGATGTCAGCAATATTTCCAACATAAATGCAAGTTGCATAAGTGAATCGCTATGTAATTCACTTAACAGCAAACTGGAGGCTACCCTTGAAAATCTGGAAAATCTGGATGTCAGTGCATTTCAAGCACCTGAAGATTTATTAGATGGCTGTCGGGTACGTCTTTATTATGTAATACATGCAGTAAGTGATGATATACATTAGCATTTCCTAGCCTGACTCTGAAGGTTCTTCAGAGTTGGGCTTGCTCCTTACTATCTATGTAAACCCACCTCTCTAGCTAAGTAGATGCACTTACAAGACATGTCCTCCTTTGGCTGTGAGAGTGGCTCTGTGAGTCATCTTCCTCTGTTATCTTTTAGAAGTTCATTTCAGTTTTTAATTCATCTCTGAACACTCCTAACTACATTAATCTTTCCATCTATATGTTTTGAGAGCACTTAGTTTCTGAATGACTTATTGGATTTATTTATTTATTTATTTATTTATTTATTTGAAATAGGGTCTCACTCTGTTGCCCAGGCTGGAATGCAGTGGCACAATCATAATTTACTGTAACCTTGAACTCCTGGGCATCAGCCATCTCTCAGTCTCCCAAGCAGTTAGGACTACAGGCATGTGCCACCACACCTGACTAATTTTTAAATTTTTTTGTAGAGACAAGGTCTTACTGTGTTTCCCAGGTTTGGACTTTTATTAATAACTATCATTTAAGTGTTTACAGTTTATTAGGCACCATCCTAATAATTTTATGTATGTTAATATGTTATGTATAATCTCATTTAATTCCCACAAATAACTCTAAAGTGGATATTATCTTGAGGGTAAGACTCAGTTAAAATTCTTGTTCAGAGTCCCACAGAGAGACATTAAGTAGCCAGTCATCTACTCCAAAGTCCGTATTCCTCACTATTAGAGCCACTGCTTTGTTTGGTATTTCGTGGGTTATTTTAATTTTTTAGGATGTGAATAACTGTCTTGTAAGTTTATTGATGGAAACATCATATGCTATGCTTTTTCAGCTGTCTTAGATTGGAATACTTAACATATTCGTATTTGTAGAATGACTTGGCTCTGCATTAGTTTTCACAGAGTAGCAAAAATGTAACCCTACCTTATTGTTAAGGGAAATTGGGCAAATTACCTTAACTGTTTTGTTTTTTTTTTTTTTAAACTTACCAACTCACTGGCTAAACAAAAGGTGGGTTTTTTGTTTTTGTTTTGAGATGGATACTCTCTGTCACCCAGGCTGGAGTGCAGCGGCGTTACCTCAGCCCACTGCTCATCACTTCTTAGGTTCAATTGATTCTCCTGTCTCAGCCTCCTAAAGTAGCTGGGATTGCAGGTGTGTGCCACCATGCCTAACTAATTTTTGTAGTTTTAGTAGAAATGGGGTTTCACCATATTGGCCAGCCTGGTCTTGAACTCCTGACCTCAAGTGGTCTGCCCACCTCAGCCTCCCAAAGTGCTGGGATTACAGGCATGAGCCACCACACCTGGCCTAGAGATGTTTTGTATGATCTTTTATTCTAGCTAGACTCTACTAATTCTAGATCTGACTTTTAATTGTTTCTTACGTATATGATTCCAAATATTTGTTAAAATATGTTCTAGTAATGGGGGTGATTTAATTTAGGATGTAAATGCAGTTTGGAATAGATTTGTCATGCTTAAAATTTTTTTAAGGGCACCTTATGTAAAATAGAGGTTAAAAGATTTTTATATTGATTAAATTGGCTTAAATATATACATCCTCGTGGTTAAAAATAAATTACTGCATACCTGTTATTCTCAGAGCATTGTGTTCAGTTATTTGATATATATATTTTTTTGTTCAAGCAACTCTGTGAATAAGGTGACATGAGTTTATAGTTAAGAAAATTAGTTTAAAGAGCTTAAGCAACTTGCCTATTGTCATATTGTTAATTATTGGCAGCTGAAACCCCCACCCAAAAAACCCCACAATTTAAGCCCAGGTGTTCTGATTTCAGACAGTTAACTACAGTTTACTTTTTTTTTTTTTTTTTTTTTTTTGGAGATGGAGTCTCGCTCTGTCGCCCAGGCTGAAGTGCTGTGGTGCAGTCTTGGCTCACTGCAACCTCCACCTTCTGGGTTCAGTTCTCCTGTCTCAGCCTCTTGAGTATCTGGGACTATAGGTGCATGCCGCCACGCCCAGCTAATTTTTTTTGTATTTTCAGTAGAGGTGGGGTTTCACCGTGTTGCCCAGGCTGGTCTCAAACTCCTGAGCTCAGACATTCTGCTTGCCTCTTCCTCCCAAAGTGCTAGGATTACAGGTGTGAGCCACCGCACTCAGCCTTTAAGTTTACTATTACAATTACTTTAAACTTTACAGGTAGTGAGACTTTCACAGTTAAAGAAGTTACCTGCATTTTAAAAATTGGTATGCACTAATATTTAGAAGATGTTGGAATCTGGCTTCTATTTTATTTATAGCCTCAAAATACTTATCAGGTATCCACTGTGAAAGATAATAATGCTGTATGAGATTGTAAAAAGTGATTAAAAAATCAAAGTTGTGGCTGGGCATGATGGCTCATGCCTGTAATCCAAGCACTTTGGAGGCTAAGTCAGGCAGATCATCTGAGGTTGGGAGTTCAAGACCAGCCTGACCAACATGGTGAAACCCCATCTTAAAAAAAAAAAAAAAAAAAAAATCAAATTTGCAGAACTGTTAAAGAATCAAAAGTTTTAGAATGCGTTTATTCATGTATCTTAAATGTACACAAGTTGTCTTGTTTATAGGCAATGAATTTAGATATTTTTAGTTTTTTTCTATTGAGAGAAAGCATGTTAAATACATTATTTTCTTTCTTGCAGATATATCTTTGCGGTTTTAGTGGCAGAAAGCTAGATAAACTGAGACGACTTATTAACAGTGGAGGTGGAGTTCGTTTTAACCAGCTTAATGAAGATGTAACTCATGTTATTGTGGGAGATTATGATGATGAATTGAAGCAGTTTTGGAATAAATCGGCCCACAGGTTTTTCTTCCATTTTTTTAATTCAAAGCAATTTCTACTACATAATGTTTCTTAAAATTGCATATTCATGCAGTTATGGAAACTGCATGACAAGTGGGATGATGGTCTTTATAGCTTGCAGTAATACGTAACTATGTGCTATTTTTGTAGGCCTCATGTAGTGGGAGCAAAGTGGTTGCTAGAGTGTTTCAGTAAAGGTTATATGCTTTCTGAAGAACCGTATATCCATGCTAATTACCAGCCAGTGGAAATTCCAGTTTCAGATCCGCCTGAAAGTAAAGCAGCTGTTTTAAAAAAGAAGAACAGCAGCTTCTCTAAGAAAGACTTTACTCCTAGTGAAAAGCATGAGCAAGCTGATGAAGATCTGCTCTCTCAATATGAAAATGATAGCTCTACAGTAGGTAAGAAATACTTGGTTAGTATTTGTAGTTAGTAAGAAATATTTTAGTAGCCTAATACATATATGTGTGATTTCTGCCAAGTTTTCTAGATTTTAAGTTAAATTAACCTTTTTCTTTCCTTAAAATTTTGCTTATAACTTTTTTTCGGAGCAGGTAAGACAATAGGGCCCTGAACCCTTTAACCAGTAAGACAATAGGGCCCTGAACCCTTTAACCAGTAAGACAATAGGGCCCTGAACCCTTTAACCAGTAAGACAATAGGGCCCTGAACCCTTTAACCATCTCTCCTCTCTTAGCTAATTAGCTCTATTTTGATTTGTTATATATACAGGCATTGATTGATTTGTGTGTCTGTAGTAGCATGAGCCTTTTATTCAAACTTTGTAACAAATGCCTCCTACTGGATTATTGTGGTCTTTAATGCATGAAACACTGCAGTGTGGACTACCACCTCAGCATGTACTCTTATCTTGTAGTAAGGTGAATTGCCAGTGAAGCATTATAAACAGCATTGCTTCTTTTTTATTAAGAAAAGACTTTATGAAATATATAGCCAAAAATATTAATTTCAATAAATTTAATGTGTATCATAACTTAAAATCTAAAGTTAATCAGAATTTTAATCTACTTCTTGAATAAAACAAGGACCTCAGAATACTTTTTTTTTTGAAGTGGTGTTTTGCTCTTGTTGCCCAGGCTGGAGTGCAGTGGTGTGATCTCAGCTCACTGCAATCTCCACCTCCTGGATTCAAGCACTTCTCCTGCTTCAGCCTCCCAAGTAGCTGGGATTACAGGCATACACCACCACACTCGGCTCATTTTGTATTTTTAGTAGAGATGGGGTTTCTCCACGTTGGTCAGGCTAGTCTCAAACTCCCGACCTCAGGTGATCCACCCGCCTCGGCCTCCTAAAGAGCTAGGATTATAGGCGTGAGCCACCGCACTGGGCCTAGAATACTTTAATGATCACAACTAGCCCTGCTTCCTCTCCCTACTCATCAGCATACTCAGCTTATGTGATTTTGTCTAGTATTTTCATTATCTTTTAAAATTTCACAATTAGGCATTATTACCCTTTTATAGGGTAAATATTTGTTTCATTTACTAACATGTTTGTTTCTTTGCTCTCCTCAGTTGTTTTTACATCTGAGACTCTATTCTGGAATCATTTTCTTTCTTCCTAAAATAATATCCTTTAGAAACTCCTTTAGTTTCTCTGAAGACTCTTGAGCTGGGTATACAGTTCTAGACATTTACTTTGTTTAAGCACAGAGATAGTATTTCATTGTCATCTGTTTCCCTGACTGCTGGATAGGAAATCAGATGTTAAGTCTGTCATTCCTTTACAGATAATATGTCTTTATCCTCTGGCTTTTTTTAAGATAATCTTTCTTTTGGTTTTTGTGTCCTGGAGCTTTAACATTTATTTGTCCTGCTTGAGATTCATTGTGCTTTCTGAATCTGAGAATTAGTACGTTTTTTGCTTTTTGTTAGGTCAAGAAATGTTTATTATCTCTTTGAATATTGCTTCTCCCCTACTCTCTATATTCTTTTCACTCCCATTTGCTCTGTATATGGATCACTTAACCTGTCCTTATCTTCCACTTTTTTGTTTTTCTGTGATTATGTGTAATTCCTTCAGACTTTTTTCCAGATCACAGATCATCTCTGTAGCTATTGCCTAATCTGTTTTGCTTATTCATTAAATTTTGTTTTAATAATAAATTTTTCAGTTCCTAGGAGTTTTAGCTTTTTAAATAGTCTGTCATTTATTTTTTTTATTTTTAAAAATTGAGATGGGTAGTCTTGAACTCCTGGGCTCCAATGATTCTCCCACCTCAGCCTCCCAAAGTGCTGGGGTTACAGGTGTGAGCCACCACACTCGGCCAAGCCTGTCATTTTGTATTTGTATTTTTTGTTCTTTATTTCTTGAAACATGTGAAACTTACTGAAATATCCTAATTGTTCTGTTGGTTATTGTTTATGGTGCCTGGTTTTCTTGTGTTTTGTGATTTTTATTGTGAACTTGTACTTACTAGGTCTCGAGGATTTCTAAGAAACTTGGGGTAGGGGTTTGTTCCCCCAGAAAAGGTTCATGTTTGGGTCTGCTAGGTGCCTAGGAGTTGACAAACTCAGTACACCTCTTAGTTCGTTTATTGACTGGAGGTTTCTTAGATCATCCAACTAGTATGAATTTATACCCAAAGCTATTTTGAGGACCAGCCTCTGATGAACAAATTCTCAGGAAAGATGTTTTTTCCCCTTGACCCAAAGCCAGTGTTCTTGACCTCTTCCTTTGCAAGGCAGATTTGTTGTTGGTTGGTTGGTTAGTTTTGGTCTGTTTACTAAAGGTATGTCCCTTCAGGGATTCTGGGTTTGTTCTCTCAGGATATATATTCTGCTTCACCTCTAATTTTTATGAAACCTAAAGATTGGCTCCTGTCTCCTGTGTGATGCCCTTATATTCCAAGGGTCTGGGTGCTACACAAATATATAATAGATTTTGACTAACCATTAGCTTTAGTAACTACTTAATGTTCTGGATTTAGTAACCACTTAGTGATCTGGATTTTAATATTTTATCCTGTATTTTGAAGTGTCTTCTTAGTGAGAAGGTTTCAAAGCTCTACCCTACCATATTTCTAGAGGGGAAATTCCTACCATTCCTTTTTTATTTATACTATTTCCATATTCCAAAATTGACTTTTCTCAAACAGTTTACTTAATGCTTTACTATTGTATCACATCAGGAGATCATCCTAATTTTCTAGGATGCTCTGCTATAAAGAAGCCACAAATTAACTGAAAGCAATTTTTTTTTTTTTTTTTTTTTTTTTTTTTTTTTTGAGACAAGATCTTATTTCATCACCCAGGCTGGAGTGCAGTGTTGCAATCTTGGCTCACTGCAAGCTCCACCCCCTGGGTTCAAGCGATTCCCCTGCCTCAGCCTCCTGAGTAGCTGGGCGTATGAGCGTGCACCACCACACCCAGCTAATTTTTCTGTTTTTAGTAGAGACAGGGTTTCACCATGTTGGCCACTGGGCTGATCTCAAACTCCTGGCCTCATGTGATCCTCCTGCCTTAGCCTCCCAATGTGTTGTGATTACAGGTGTGAGCCACCGCACCCCGCCAGCAATTTTATATATTATCCTTCAGCCAATAGTACTTGGTGTAGGGCAGGTGATTAGTTTCCTAAACCTTCCTTTCTAAGGCAACTAGTGGTTTACTGACTTTATAAGGACGAAATGATAGTAAATCTCAATGGATCACTAAGCATCTTAGAAAGAGTATAATAAAGTATTTTATAATTAATTCTTAAAATTGCTTTTGATTTAGGGGAGCTTTTTGAATGATTGGTTTATCACATAGTATCTCTTAGGCTTTTGGGTGAGATCTGTTTGAAAAGAGATCCTACTACTAAAATAAATGGAAAGAACTGCTGTAGAACGTGTTAGTTTATTACGAGTCTCTTAATAACTTGAGTTTTACTAATGGTTTATAAGAACTTAGTATTTCTACTTTGTTTTTGTAGTAGTCGTCTAAAATTCTACTGGATTTCTTCCTCCTTCCTGTCTTACAATGTATAGACATTGAACAAAGTTTTTTTTTCTCCTAGATGTGACTGCATAATAGTTGTACTTGCAAAAAAATAGAAAGGTTTTTACTTATAAAACAAACTGTTTGCATTTTAACAAAACTGTTAAAAAACAAACTTTCCGGAATGTTTTGCAACACCTTTATTTCCATCTAAGCTTATTTATTCTCATGAGTATATCTATAAATTGTAAATGTACTATTATCCTTTATTCCTTATAAAATCAAGAGTCAAGGAGACTATAAAACTAGAACCCACCTCTCCTGACTTGTGATCAGTAAACTCCGTAGACAACATTATGCTTCCTTTGTGTGAATAAGAACAATTTTAATACTTACGTTTAGTAGGAGTCATTAGTTTCTAATGTGTTATTACAATAATTTACTTAAAAATGAAAATTCCAGTATCTACTGGAGATGAGGATAGAAGTAAGAAGGTGGCATTATAACATGTTGTTATGAACTCTGGAGTCAGACAGACTTTGGTTCATACCTCATTTCTGCCACTTAACTGTGTGACCTTAGCAAGTTACATAACCTCTTCAAGCCTGAGACTCCTTTTGTAGAAAAGGAATGTACTGATATTATCAACCTCACAGTTGGCATTATGTGAGCATTACGTGAATGTGAAGCACTTAGTCACAGTGCTTATGTAAATGAAAGAATGAACTGTTGAATAGCTTCCAGCCTTGTTGTAATTGCATAGCATGGCAAACTTTTTCTCTGAAAGGGAAGACAATAAATATTTCAGGATTTGCCAACCACTTCCTTATAGTCATTTCCATGTTAAGGGCTTGACAGTTAATACCATTTAGAACTGTTAATTTTCTCCATAATGATATTTTCTTAATTGTATGGTGAATCATCTAAACCAGTTTTGGAACTAAAGACAGTCCTGTTGGAGGTGTATAATTTTAAACTAATTTAAGTTTCTATTATACTGGGAATACCTAGAACTAACATGATGACTCTTTGCCTTCCTGTTGGACGATGGTAATACTAATAGGACTCTTGGTAACCCCGAAGACAGGGTGAATCCATATCTCTTTACTGGGTACACATAAGCCTTAGTTTTGTAACTATAGTCAAAATTCTTAGATTCCATGTTACATTAATATCCTTGCTAGGAAGTAAACTTTAACTATTAGGTAATTGTTTGTTAGAAATCATTTACTTTTCTCTTTCAGTTGAGGATAAGAAGTCTGAAGCTGAGAAGTCTGAAGTTAGGCCCTTTAATGATTCTACTCATGTCGAGCCCTTGAATGATTCTACTCATATTTTGCAAGAAGAAAACCAGTCTTCTGTCAGTCATTGCTTCCCTGATGATTCTACAGTTACTGCAGAAGGCTTATTTAGCCAAAAGAGTTTCCTTGTTTTGGGTTTTAGTACTGAAAATGAATCTAACATTGCAAACATCATAAAAGAAAATGCTGGGAAAATCGTGTCCCTTCCAAGCAGAACTATTGCTGATTATGCTGTGGTTCCTCTGCTGGGGTGTAAGGTAGAAGCCACCGTGGGAGAAGTTGTTACAAATACATGGCTGGTAAGAAAACACTGTAGCAGTTGAAATAGGTATCGAAGGATATCTGAATGCCAAGAAGGTTAATGTTGATTTCTCAGGCTGTTCAGTTATAATAAATCGGTGTTTTAATTACAACACTCTTGATTTTGCTTTTAGCAAGGGAAATTCTAAAACAAAATGTGCAAGCTTCTTGCACCTAATCCTGCTGTAGTAGAGGCTCCTGTTTCCCAGAGGCCACGGCAGCAACATTCCTCCTTAGGAGGTCTCTTTACAGTCATCTCACACTGTTAGTCTTGTTTTCTCACAACCAAAGCATCACTGGTAATTTCACGCTGGATTTTTTTTTTTTAAGGTTTCAAGAGTTATGAGAAAAATAGTATAAACTTAAAAGTATGTATATAAACTAACACATTAGAAGGAGTGAAATTTAAAGCAACATTCAGTAACTCCAATGATACTACTATTTTAATAGCCTAATATAGTCAGTCAATTTATGTATATGTGTGTATGTATATGTAAATTTTAACATTATCATATGAAATGTATTGAGAATGAGCATACACAAGTTTATATTAAAGTAAAATTTCTTCTTATCAAAACTAAAGTATTGCTCCTGTAACTGAATTAATGTTAACCACCGGTTGCTTATTTCATGTTGGCTTTACTGTTTCTCTTGTTTTCAAAAGGTTACTTGCATAGACTATCAGACTTTGTTTGATCCAGAGTCGAATCCTCTCTTCACACCAGTCCCAGTAATGACAGGAATGACTCCTTTAGAGGATTGTGTTATATCATTTAGCCAGTGTGCTGGAGCAGAAAAAGAGTCTTTAACATTCCTAGCAAACCTCCTTGGAGCAAGGTATGTGATATTTTTAATGCATCCACTGTGTTGGTGTATCTTTTTGTTTTCTTAGAGAGCATTCAAATTAGAATTTGGTTGAGTGTCTTTATTATATTTATGGATGCTATGTGCTGTATCTATGTGATGGCTCAACGTGGCAGAAGGGAGAGTACAAGTAGTTGGATGCCTGGCCGACTTCTAAGAATACAGGCATAATGGCTTTGCCACTGTAAAAGGGAATATTTAATACTGAATTTTGGGGTACTATTGAATAGTTCTTATTTAAGCATTATATCCTTCAATGTGCCATATGGATGATTTCTTCTTTTTTCAGTATATAGTAATTATTTCTCTGGTTTTCAGCCAGAAATGCAAATGTTAAATGGGAGTAATGAATACTTTGGATGAAAGAAAATGAATTTAAAAGTTATTTCCAAAATTCACATTGGCCCAGCCCTTAATTGAACATTATATATGATGGCTGTTTTAAAAAGTAGAGGCCGGGTGTGGTGGATTACACCTGTAATCTTAGCACTTTGGGAGGCTGAGGCAGAAGGATAGGTTGAGGCCAGGAGTTGAAGGCCAGTCTGGGCAGCATAGTGAGACCACATTTCTACAAAATAAAAATTAATTAGTTGGGCATGGTGGCACACAGCTGTAGTCCTAGCTACCTGAGAGACAGAAGCCATAGGATCCTTGGAGTCTAGGAATTTGAGACTGGAGTCCAGGAGTTTGAGACTAGAGTGAGGTATCATTGAGCCACCACACCTGAGCCTGGGTAACAGAATGAGATCCTGCCTCTAAAAATATAAAAACTAAATTTTAAAAAAGTAGAAAATGATTTTATCAATAAATATAAATAAACTAAACTTTTATACTAAAAGGAAAATACTTTTGCATTAAATCATAAAACACAACTATACTTTTCGTTTTTTGAGACAGAGTCTTACTCTGTCACCCATGCTGGAGTGCAGTGGCATGATCTTGGCTCACTTAAAAGCCCTGACTCCCAGATTCAAGCAATTCTCCTGCCTCAGCCTCCCAAGTAGCTGGGACTACAGGTGCCACCACCATGCCTGGCTAATTTTTGTATTTTTAGTAGAGAAAGGGTTTCACCATGCTGGCCAACTGGTCTTGAATTTCTGACCTTGTGATTCGCCTACCTCATCTTCCCAAAGTCCTGGGATTATAGGCATGAGCCACCGCACCTGCCCTCAACTATCATTTTAAACAAAAGATATACCTAAAACAAAGTGATTCAGAACTTTTGAGAAAAACAAAAAGGGTGGGCAAAGATATGTACTAAGTAAATGTAAACAAAAAGAAAAGGGGGGGGTACAGTTTTACTATCGCACAAGTTTAAATTTAAATCAAAAGGCATTAAGCTAGAAAAAGAAGAGCACTCTAAATAAAGAGTGCTGTTAACATTGAAGATAAAATATGTATGTACCAAATAGAGCAGCATCATTCATAAAACAGAAACAACAGAGTTGTAAATAGGAATCAACAGAAACATTACTTCTAGGAGACTTTATTTCCCATATTTTACTGTATGACAGTTGAAAAAGACAGAAAACAAGGAAGGATATAGACTTAAATAGCATATTTAATTACATATCTACCCTGAAATGGTGAGCATACCTTTTCAAGTGCCTGTGGATACTCATAAATGCTGCCTGTAAAAAAAAAAAAGAAAGCAAAATTGGCCACAAAGAAAATCTTAGTACTTTACCCAAAGTAAAAAGTTTGCAGACCATATTCTCTCATCACAGCACAAAAAACTAGAAATGAATAATAAAACTCTAAAATGAACGATTCTATCAATTGGAAATTTTTAAAACTGTTTTTAGTAACTCTGTTTAAAGAGGAAATCAAAACCATACAAAGTTAGAAATGGTTATCAACCCAAAGCCTGGGCGTAGTGGCTCATGCCAGTAATTCCAGCACTTTGGGAGGCCAAGGTGGGCGAATCACGAGGTTGGGAGTTGCAGACAAGCCTGACCAACATAGTGAAACCCTGTCTCTAAGAAAAATACAAAAATTATCCGAGTGTAGTGGTGTGAGCCTGTATCCCCAGCTATTCAGGAGGCTGCGACTTGAACCCAGGAGGCGGAAGTCGCAGTGAGCCGAGATCATGCCACTGCACTCCAGCCGGGGCAACAAAGAAAGAAAAAAGAAAGAAAAAAAGAAAGAAAGAGTTTTCAACCCAATAGTAACAAACAGCCTGGTGCCGTTTCACACTAAAACTAAAGCTTGAAGAAATAGTTAATTTCAGATCTGAGGGAGAAAATGTACTAGTAAGTCTGGAACATTTTGTCAGACCAAATAGCAAGGACATTATCAATGACTACTGGAGAGGATTGTGTCTGAAGTACCTCCACTGGGCTGGTCTGAGTGTAGGGACGTTTACAACTACGTGATCACAACCAGTTACAAACGTCTTTGTTCCTTCTCTAAACCCATTGCTTCACTTGACTTGACTAGCCTTAAAAAAAAAAAAAAAAAGTACCTCCACTGCCAAAGATGAAAACTTAGGTATCATTAGAGATAATAACTGCAGTGGATCCAAACACATGAAATAGTTTTTAAGTCATGACTTCATAATGACACCAAATAAACTAAGGTAATTGGTCATCTTTGAAAGATATTAGGGAACCAATCCACTACCTTGAAAGCTGACAAAGGGAAAAGATCAAGTATTTATTTAACCTTGCATTTCCTGTGCAGTTTGCATCAGGGTAACATGGCAGTTGGTAAGGCAGAGTTTCCCTTTATAAAGATGTTTCAACAAATAAATAAATAAGGAATGATTAAGATTGTAACCCCTGATGAATGAAATAATATAGGCGTTGAACATCAATAATTAATCACGCAGTAAAGGGACAAAACAAGATGTACCTTCTTATGAAGAATATACCACCACTTGAATTAGTCTTGCCAAAATAATCAAACCTCAATCTGATGATGCTTCTAGACCCAACTACCAATTTATAGGAAACACAAACAGCAGAACAGCATCTTAAACTACACGACAACAATACCATCAGCAAAACTCTGCAGTATAAATGATCCAATGTCTTGAATGAATATATGCTAAGGGTGTGGAAGAGAAGCTAGGAACCTATAAGTTAAAAGACATGAAAAGCAGAAGCCTAAATGTAGTCTTTAAAGATGCCATTATTTGATTAAAGAAAAGTAAAGAATTGATTACCGTAAATGTCCAGATAGTTCTGGCCCAGTGGCTTATGCCTATAATCCCAGCACTTTGGGAGGCCAAAGGATTGCTTGAGCTGAGGAGTTCAAGACCAGCCTGAACAACATAGTAAGACCTCATCTCTATTTTTAAAATAAAATAAAATAAATGAGCCAGGCATGGTGACATGTGCCTATGGTCCCAACTACTCGGGAGGCTGAGGCAGGAGGACTGCTTGAGCCCAGGAGATCAGGGCTGCATTGAGCTATGATCACTCAACTATACTACAGCCAGGGCAACAAAGTGAGACCCTGTCTCAAAAAAAAAAAAAAAAAAAAGCCCAAATAATGGCTACTATTAAGTGGGGAGGGAAGGGAGGTGGTATGGCCTGTTGGAGAGGTTCTGAGGTGCTAACAAGATTCTGTCTCCTGACATGGGTGGTGGACATAAGGGTTTCACCTTATAATAATTCATTAAACTGTATATTTCTCTTTTTTTGCTGTTTTGTATTTGAATTACATGAAACAATAAAATATTCTTTTAAAACTGAAATTGTGGAAGATAATAACAAACATTACAACAGACTCCACTGGCTACAACTAAAGCTGTACTCAGCAGGAAAGTCATGCAAATTCTGAAATAGAATAATTGGGACTAGCCCTAGCAGTTATTAAAATATATTATGTGGCCAGTTTCGGTGGCTCATGCCTTTAATCTGAGCACTTTGAGAGGCTATGGCAGGAGGCCAAGTTCAAGACCAGCCTGGGCAATATACTGAGACCCTGTCTTTACAAAAGTTTAAAAATTAGCCAGGCTATGTAGTATGAACCTGTAGTCTCAGTTATTTGGGAGGCTGAGGTGGGAGGATTGTTTGAGTCTGGGAGGTCAAGGCTGCAGTGGGCCACAATGGCACCACTGTACTTTATCCTGGAGGACAGAGCAAGACCCTGTCTCAGAAAACAAACAAATATGTATTTTGTGAAACTTTACTAAATAACAGTGTGGTTGCCTGTAGCAGAATGTTTAATTAATGGTCAGCAAGTGTAGTAGGAGACCCAAATACAAAAAGGAATTTATGATAAAAGTGGCATTTCAGATCAGTAAGGAAGATATGGCTTATTCAATAAATAGGGTGCATTAAAGTTGGAGCAATATCTCATACCTAAGTAAGTACTGAATGGATAGTGGGTTAAATGTAAAAAATGAAGTCATAAAAGTAGTAGGATAAACATATAACATAGAAAAAGAAGTGCTAGGAAACATGGGAAATTTAAAAATCTGAAAAGTCAGGGACTAGAATGTAAAACCCAGAAGTCAAAAGAAATCACTGAATTCTGTTCAATCTCATGTGGTAGACTTCTTTTTTCTGCCCCATATTCTCTGTGTTTAATATCCTATGATCTTGAGTAAGTCACTTAATTTCTCTGTATTTTTCCCCACATCTAAAATATTGAGAGGATCAAATGAGATAATACATAGAAATGCTTTGAGAAGTTGTGGTGGATTTTAAAAAATTTCTCTTTGCTCCTGTCATCTTTGCAAGAAAGGACAAGGCGTGTGGGTAGTAGCTAATTAAGGAGGTAATTTTGGCTTTGGAAGGCGGTTCACACCTGTAATCCCAACTTTAGGAGGCTGAGGCAGGAGGATCACTTGAGCTCAGGAGTTCGAGACCAGGCTAGGCAACATGGTGAAACCCCATTTCTACAAAAAATAGAAAAATTAGCTGGGTGTGGTGGTGTACACCTCTAGTCCGAGCTACTGGGGAGGCTGAGGTGGGAGGATGGCTTGAGCCCAGGAGGCAGAGGTTGCAGTGAGCTGTGAGTATGCCACTGCACTCCAGCCTGGACAACATAGCAAGACCCTGTCTCAAAAAAAGAGATAATTTTGCTGTCTACATTTTGCATGTCTAATTATGTTTTTTAAAAAGTTTGTTCTAGCAATATGTTTTTACCCAAGAATAAACATTTGTAAGGGGATTAGCTTAATTTCACATAGAATAAACCAACTTTTAATCAATGTATATTTTCTTATACTTAGATGATCTCTAACCACACTGTTGTGTTAGAAATGTTGTTCTTAGTTTGTGGACTAATTGTATACGTGACCATTTGCACTTCTTTAAATATAAATTTCAGTGTTCAAGAATACTTTGTTCGCAAGTCCAACGCAAAGAAAGGCATGCTTGCCAGTACTCACCTGATATTAAAAGAACCTGATGGCTCTAAATATGAAGCTGCAAAAAAGTGGAATTTACCTGCAGTTACTATAGCTTGGCTGTTGGAGACTGCTAGAACGGGAAAGAGAGCAGATGAAAGCCATTTTCTGATTGAAAATTCATCTAAAGAAGGTTAATACTTTCATTCTGTTCTTTTATATATATTTACAACTTGATGGTTTCTGGGATATAAATGTGCCAATGCTTGTTTTTAGGAAAGGTTATTGGTTTTCGCTTTTCACATTGGGTGCAGTGAGGGTCTCAGTGTTTGAAGTCTAAAGATGTATGCTTGACTCCTGTTTACTATTGATTCCTTCTGTGGCTCACAGTAACACGCTATGTAATTAATGTGCTTTCATCTTTGGGCTTCTGCACGTTTCCTGTGGACCACCTCACAATTGCTTGCTCTTCCTTCTTACCAGTTCTCAGCTAAGATACTACTTTCCCTGGAAAGCCTTTCTTGACTCACCAAGTATGGCCTTTGTCTTGCTGTAATGTTTTGTTTTACCATGACACTTTGTATCAGCCCTTTTATAGCTCTTACCTCAGTGTTGTAATGCTGGTTTATTTTGTGTCTTTCTGCTAAATTACAAGTTCTAGAAAGGCAGGGAACACGCATGTCTTGTGAATTCTGTATTTCCCATGTTTTACACTAGATGTGGCATGGAGTAGTTATCTAATGTTTTTTAAGTGTTGGAAAAAGGTGGAAGGCAGGGGTGGAAGAATCAGTACCCACTCTTGTAAGATAATAGCATCCCTGGGCAAACTTCAGGGACCTATCAGCAACTTGGGAATACCTCTCAGGGTCATTACTTATTTTGCCAGACAGATGTAATTTTATGACTGAGGCTAAGTGATGTTTAGGTCGTATTGAAATTTGATTAAGAATTTTCTAAAATTTGACTGTAGTTAACTCTGAGTACATGTAATTTAGATTTTCTTTTTACTCTGTCCTTGACTAGGAAGACATTAACTGATACAATTTCTGGCAAATAAGCTTATTGAGACATAGCAAGATAAAACAGGAAATCTTATTTTATTTTTTTCAGTTAATGTGCTTATCTAATATATATTTAATGCATAATCTGGTTTGTTTCTTGGAAAGTAGCTATATAATTTTATGATTTAAAGTGTACCTAGCCGGGCGCGGTGGCTCAAGCCTGTAATCCCAGCACTTTGGGAGGCCGAGGTGGGTGGATCACGAGGTCAAGAGATCGAGACCATCCTGGTCAACATGGTGAAACCCTGTCTCTACTAAAAATACAAAAAATTAGCTGGGCATGGCGGCGCGTGCCTGTAATCCCAGCTACTCAGGAGGCTGAGGCCAGAGAATTGCTTGAACCCAGGAGGAAGAGGTTGCGGTGAGCCGAGATCGTGCCATTGCACTCCAACCTGGGTAACGAGAGTGAAATTCCGTCTCAAAAAAAAAAAAAAAAGTGTACCTGAGAATTGACATGAAAACTAACAATTAGATAGAGATGCCAAGGTGGGTGGATTGCTTGAGCCCAGGAGTTCAAGACTAGCATGGGCAACCAAAAAAAATACAAAAAATTAGCCAAGTGTGGTGGTATGTGCCTGTAGTCCTACCTCTTTGGAAGGCTGAGGTGAGAGGATTGCTTGAGCCCAGGAGGTCAAGGCTGCAGTGAGCCGTGAACACACCACTGCACTCCAGCCTGGGTCAGAGTTAGAGAAAGACCCAGTATCTAAAAAAGAGAAAAGAAAGAAAACAGATATAAAACATTACTTCTTGTGTATAGGAAAAAAGTGGGCATTAGTGGCTCATGTTTGTTTCTTTTCATTTTAAATCTCTAGAACGAACTTTGGAAATGGAAGTAACAAATGGAATCAATCTAAATCCAGATACTGCAGAGCATCCTGGCACACACTTGCAGACTCACAGAAAAACTGTCGTTACACCTTTAGATATGAACCGCTTTCAGAGTAAAGCTTTCTGCGCTGTGGTCTCACAACATGCCAGACAGGTTTCAGCCTCCCCAGCAGTAGGACAACCACTTCAGAAGGAGCCCTCATTACACCTGGATACACCATCAAAATTTCTCTCCAAGGACAAACTCTTCAAGCCTTCCTTTGATGTGAAGGTAAGATTGATAGGCAGTGGTCCCAGAGTTAATAGTTTTACCATTTATAAAGTTAAAGCACCAAATTCTGCATCACCTCCAAAATGTTGGAGTCAATTTTCCAGAGATGTTGGCAAGTAGATTTATGTTACTGAGTTTGAATGTTTTGGGTCCCAATATACATCCAGGGTTACAGTAACAGATATAGATAAATATGGTGTGAAATGAGGACATCTAGGTTCAAATACTAGATTGATCTTGAACTGTGTGACTAGGCCAATCATTTAACGTAACTGAGCTTCAGTTTGTTGTTTCATACAAAGAGGATAATATTTGCTTTGAAAATTCATAGATTCTAAAGATCAAATGATGAAAGCATTTTATAAACTATAAAATATAAACACACTGCTACTTTATATATTGGTTCTCAGAGTACACCCATGATTTACTTTCTGAAAATGTGTATTATCACCTTACTTGAATTGTTTCCTGTAAAGACATTAGTTAACTTTGTGTTCTAGTTTCATCTCCTGAGCAGTATAGTATGACTCCCTTTCTGAAAAATTTATTTGCAAATCAGGGGCTAAGGTAATCTTCTAGATGATTTTCTTTTATTTTCCAAAGCTGATTTTCATCACTTTTTTTTTTTTTTGAGATGGAGTTTCGCTCTTGTTGCCCAGACTAGAATGCAATGGCATGATTTTAGCTCACTGCAACCTCTGCTTCCCAGGTTCAAGTGATTCTCCTGCCTTAGCCTCCCAAATAGCTGGGATTACAGGCATGTGCCACCACACCCGGCTAATTTTATATTTTTTTAGTAGAGACAGGGTTTCTCCATGTTGGTCAGGCTGGTCTTGAACTCCCAACCTTAGGTGATCCACCCGCCTTAGTCTCCCAAAGTGCTAGGATTACAGGTGTGAGCCATCATCACTGTTTCTTTAGTAGCTTTTGACCTCTTAAGTGGCTGTTCAAACCATTGTCTATGATTTCTTTATCCATGAACCTTTGCAGAATCATTGTACTCATTCATCTGTTGATATTTTTGCTTGTAGGGTATTTAGAAGCAATGTTCTAATAATTTTTATTACTGTGTTTTGGAGCAGACTTATTAAAAAGTTTACAGATGATTCATATTCAGAAAATAAATATTGATATCCAAGATAATTTTCCCCATGCTGATTTATGTCTTTATTTTTGGTCAGAATTCCCGTGACCCACATGAAAAAAAATCTGTCTTTACTGTTATAACAAACTCAAAATCCTACATTTTCACATGAAATCTCTTCTGAGTTAACATTTTGTACTGTGATTAATACCTGGTCCATATCCCTTAAGAAATAGAGGAAAATCAGTCTTGGGAACTGTGAGGTGTAGGATCAAACCTCTTCTTTTGCCTCCTGCTGCCTTTTAAAAGCAAGTCAGCCTCTGGGCTTTATATTCTCATTGATAAAATCCAGATGATCTCTAAACTTTCATAACTCACAGATTCTCTGAAGAGCAAATGTAATAATATTAGTTGGGAAGAAAATAGTAGAAATATTTTCAGTCATTGAGACCATTCTTTTGTAGTTACCTTGCAATAAAAGTTTTGTAGGGGAAAGCTTATAGTTCTGAATAGCCTCAGTGCAAAAAACACATTTAAAGATTTTATTGTTCAGAGTCATAATTTATTGAACAGCGTTTTTTCTCTTTTTTCTTTCTTGTTTGATGGCATATAAATAATGCTTCATCTTATAATCAGTGGTTCTTCAAACTGATATAATATGTTGAATTCTTTACTCAAAACATGAAAGGGCCCATGGAATAATCACAAAATTGACTATTAGGCCTTACCCTCCCTCCACCCGCAAAAAATACCTCTTATTTAAACTTAATTTTTAAATAGTATACATCAGAACAGTACAGTAACTACACTGCTAATGAAATATCGGGGTTAATCATTGGGAAACTCCATCTCAAAAAAAAAAGAATTAAATTTTAGCATATCAGATGAGTAAATAGAAGAAAAAAAGAAAAATAATAAAAACAAAAAATAAAATTTTAGCATATAGACTTAACCATGTTCTTACAAAATAGATTTAAGTGTCATAAGCTATAAAGATATATTAATCTGTTTGTACATTGCCATAAAGAACTACCTGAGACTGAGTAATTTATTTTTTATTCTGAGACAGAGTCTTGCTCTGTCACCCAGGCTGGAGTGCAGTTGCATGGTCTCAGCTGACTGCAACCTCCACCTCCTGGGTTCAAGCAGTTCTCCTGCCTCAGCCTCCTGAGTAGCTGGGATTACAGGCACCCACCACCAGGCCTGGCTAATTTTTGTATTTTAGTTAGAAACGAGGTTTCACTATGTTGATCAGGCTGGTCTGAAACTTCTCACTTCAAGTGATCCACCCTCCTTAGCCACCCAAAGAGCTAGGATTACAGGTGTGAGCTCCCATGCCCAACTCTATTAAAAAAAGAGGTTTAATTGTCTCACAGTTCCACGGGCTGTACAGGAAGCACTGCTGGGAGGCCTCAGGAAACTTATAATTATAGTGGAAAGTGAAGGGAAAGTGGACAAGTCTTACATGGATGGAGAAGAAGAAAAAAATAGCAGGCAGAGATGCCACACACTTTTAAACAACCAGATATTGGTCAGGTGCGGTGGCTCATGCCTATAATCCCAGCACTTTTTGAGGCCAAGGCCAGTGGATTACCTGAGGTCAGGGTCAGGAGTTCAAGACCAGCCTGGCCAACATGGTGAAACCCCGTCTTCTACAAAAGTATAAAAATGAGGCAGACATGATGGCTCATGCCTGTAAACTCAGCTACTCAAGAGGCTGCAGCAGGAGAATTGCTTGTACCTAGTAGGCAAAGGTTGCATTGAACCAAGATCACGCCACTGCACTCCAGCCTGGGCGACAGAGTGGGACTCTATCTCAAAACAAACCAGATATTGTGAGAACTCATTATCACAAGAACAGCAAGGGGGAAATCTGCCCCATAATCCAATCACCTGCCACCAGGCTCCTCCTCTATCATTGGGGATTACAGTTCAACATGAGATTTGGGTAGGGACACAAATCCAAACTATATCGAAAGGTAATGTAGATCCTAGAGAAAAAAAAATGCAAGCAGAAACAGTATTTTAAAAGTCTGAAAAGAATAATTGCAGGTAGGCAGTAGCCCTACCATTTATTAAAACCTCCTATATCAAGTTGCAGTAATTAAAGCAGTGTGGTATCATGTGAATAATCAACTCAGTGTACAAGATTATACTCCATAAATAGGGGAAATTATTATATAATAAAAGCATTAAATCAGAAAGCTAGTTAGACATCTGAGAATACGTTGTAATTAAAGTTTACACTTTACAGAAATTAATCAGAAAACTTTTTAATTTTTTTTTTAAACTTTTTAAATAACTTTAATCAGAAAACCTTTTAGGTCAACTTTTTGGGGTTTTTTTGAGATGGGCTCTCACTTTATCACTTAGGCTGGAGTTTAGTGGCATCATCATGGCTCACTGTAGCTTCCACCTCCCAAGCTCAAAGCAGCCCTCCCATCTCAGCCTCCTGAGTAACTCAGACTACAGGTACATGGCACGGTGCCCAGCTAGTTGTATTGTTTTGGAGAGGTAGAGTCTCACCATGTTGCTCAGGCTGGTCTAGAACTCCTGGGCTCAAGCAGTTCTCCTGCCTTGGCATCCCAAAGTGTTGGGAGTATAAGCATGAACCACCACACCCAACCTAGATGATCAGATCTTTAAATATGAGAAATGAAGCCATAAAAATTCTAAAACATACCATGAGTTTGTTTTTAAAATAATCTTAGTGCAGGGAAGGTCTAACGATCATGTACACTCCAAAAGAAATAGAAGATTCATATGAATTTGACAGCATTAAAAATTCTCTAACTGGGTGTGGTGGCACACACTTGTAGTCCCAGCTGACGTGGAAGGATCTCTTGAGCCCTGGAGGCAGAGGTTGTAGTGAGCCAAGATCAAGCCACTGTACTCCAGCCTGGGCAACAGAGCAAGACCCTGTCTCAAAAAACAAAACAAGCTGGGCGCAGTGGCTCACGCCTGTAATCCCAGCACTTTGGGAGGCCGAGGCGGGTGGATCAAAAGGTCAAGAGATCAAGACCATCCTGGTCAATATGGTGAAACCCCGTCTCTACTAAAAATACAAAAATTAGCTGGGCATGGTGGCACCTGCCTGTAATCCCAGCTACTCAGGAGGCTGAGGTAGGAGAATTGCCTGAACCCAGGAGGCAGAGGTTGCGGTGAACCGAGATCGCGCCATTGCACTCCAGCCTGGGTAACAAGAACGAAACTCTGTCTCAAAAAAAAAACCAAAAAACCAAAAAACAAAAAAAATTCTCCAGTCAAGCACAGTGGCTCACTCACACCTGTAATCACAGCACTTTGGGAGACCAAGGTGAGAGGATTGCTTGAGCCCAGGAGTTTGAAACCAGCCTGGGAAAGACAGCAAGACCCTGTCTCTATGAAAATACTTAAAATTAGCTCAGCACAGGGTTGTGCATCTGGAATCTCAGCTACCTGGGAGACTGAGGTGAGAAGATCCCTTGAACCCAGGAGTTAGAAGTGACCTATGATCATGCCACTGCACTCTAGCCTGGGTGACAAAGCAGGACTCCATCTCTTTAAAAAAAAAAAAAAAGCTCCATGGCAAAAATTTGACAAATGATAAATGGAAAATTAAAAATATGTGGATATTATATCACAGTTGATACATGCACATATAAATTCATACAAATGAATATAAAAACATACAAGTGAATATATTAAAAAAGCCAACAACTCAGTGGAAAAATGAGCAAAGGATGGGAACAGATAGTTGTCAACAAAAAATTAGATATGAGTAAACATATATAAAGATCTTCTCTGGAGTAGCTGAGATTACTGACTGGGCTGGTAGATACAGTTTGCTTAGAAGGTTTCCTTTACTCTTGGATGTGCAAAATGGTGTGTGTACAAGGTTATTCATTGCATCATTATACTAGCAAAAGAGGTTAACCTAAAACTTACCAGTTTACACAGGTTAAATACATTTTGGTACGTGGAATACTATGCACATGCAACAGAGAATGAGCAAGCCATTTGGACAACAGTAGCTGCCTTTCAGGAGGGATCTGGGTGGCTTTAGAACAGGAATATATTTTGTATTTTTGAAGACTTTTTTCATAATGCTCAGCTTATTCTGACTTTCTAAACTTTCTTAGAATTCATTTCTTGATTATATCCATCCTTGCTTCTTTGTTTCCTTCTGGGTTTTGTTCTTTGATTGATTTGCAAATTCAACTCTTAAGATTCAGGTAAGAGGCAAGCCCTGCTGAAAATATAAGTTTGTTAGTCTCTGAACCAATTTGCTGGACAGTATGGAATTTTTGTTCTTCACAGCATATAGATTTGATTATAGTTTATTCTTTCTATTGTTGTTTGGAGGAAAACTAGAGGAGGTTTAAACTGTAATCCGTTAATTTTAAGGATTCTCCTATTGGCTAGGCGTGGTGACTCATGCACGCCTGCAATCCCAGCACTTTGGAAGGCCAGGGCAAGTGGATCATGAGGTCAGGAGATCAAGACCAGCCTGGCCAATGTGGTGAAACCCCGTGTCTACTAAAAATAAAAAAATTAGCTGGGCATGGTGGTCCAGCTGCCTGTAATCCCAGCTACTCAGGAGGCTGAGGCAGGAGAATTGCTTGAACCTGGGAGTCAGAGGGTATAGTGAGCCGAGATTTTTCCATCTCAAAAAATAATAATAAAATAATAAATAACGAGGATTCTCCCCGTCTCTCCCTTTATCCCTCTCTCTTCATTTTTCTTTTTTCCTGTCCTGTTAACTCGTCTTGCTTCTCTCTCTCTCTCTTCTTTTCTCCCTTTCCCTCTTCTTCGTATGCATAGGATGCACTTGCAGCCTTGCAAACTCCAGGACATCCTAACCAACAGAAAAGGAAACTGAGTACACCACTCTCAGAAGTCATTGGCAGAAATTTGAAACTTGCTTTGGCAAATAGCTCTCGAGATGCTGTCGCTCTTTCTGCCAGCCCCCAACTGAAAGATGCCCAGTCAGAGAAGGTAGGATCAGTTCTCTTATTAAAAGGAAGTTTTAGATAACATTTCAAATAATGGCTGATCTATTTCCTTTATTTTCCATGGACAGGAAGAAGCTCCAAAGCCACTTCACAAAGTAGTGGTATGTGTTAGTAAAAAACTCAGCAAGAAGCAGAGTGAACTAAATGGGATTGCAGCCTCTCTAGGAGCAGATTACAGGTAATTGGCACATCTTTCTGTTTCGTGGTGATGTGACTGAAATTTATAAGGAAACCTAAAGCTATTGTGAGCATCTACAGAAAAACGTTTATTTTGTTGTTTCATGTGTCTTTATAAAATCTCTCGAGTTGATTTTTAATTTACCACACCCTTTGAAAATAGCCTCTCACATATCAAGTCATTCTTATATGTATATTTTTTAGGGTATGCACAACAAATATTGGAGAACCTATTTCTGCCACTAACTATTCTAGAGACTTGGGATCCATGAGTGATCAATACAGTCTGAAAGAATCCCCGTGCTCAGGGAGTGTATGGTCTATTAATAGTGATACATCTGGATCTGAGATTGTTTTTGCCTTAGTGATTTTTCAGATTAGAGCCCTCTGTGAGTAGTACTGAGTACTCTGGCAGCCCTCCTTTACTAAGATAGTCTTTTTGAGCATGTTTTAATTAAAATTTTTTTTTAAGACTTTGGAGACTTAGATAAAGATTTTTCTTCACTCAATCTGACAACCTAAGCAGAAGACAGTTTCTAGCACAAATGGCATCAGTATCTGGGATTGAGAGTCTCTTGTCTGTAATTACTTTTGTGTTACCTATTGCTAGTTGCTGAGCATTATCTCGTTTCATTCTCACAGTAGCCCTACAAGGAGGGCAGGGTGTTTGTGTGTGTGTGTGTGTGTGTGTGTGTGTGTGTATTTTTTTCAGCAAAATTGAATGTTTTCTTGACTATTGTTTTGATGTAGACATAAGACTACAAAGGAACATACAGGATTTATGTTTTTATACAATTTAAAATGCCAGTCCTCTCAGTATAAAAAATAGAATTTTTACTGAAATTCCTAAACAGAATTTAACTATTGCTTTGCATTGAAGTTTTATATTCATTCTTTTCCTGAAATGGATTGGTAATTGACAAAAAGGAAGAGCCTTTTAATATGCAGAGGTTATGATATTTATGTATTCATAGGTAAGCAGTTCTCAGGTGAAGTTGTTCCAAATGTCCCCTTCCATGATCTAGGAGCAGACTGTCCCAAAGACATCATTTGATACTGTCTTCTGCCTTCAGAAGGTTAAAAATGTAGGCCACATCTTCGCAACACATCAGATGCAGCAGTACAGCAGTCTGTGATACATAGGAGAAATAGAAGGTGCATAATATAGAAAAGATATATTTTCAGTATGTAATGCTGGAGCCTGACTACACTAGAAAACAATGGAGTATTAATATGTTTGTATACCTCTGAAAAGTCAGCACAAATCCAACAGTCCCAAGGCTGAGACCAATCTGGGGGCTCAGATACCATGAGTAGCAGTGGTCTTCCATCAGTTTATACAGTAGTTGCATTTTTGTTATATTAGTGTGTATTAAAACTGCAAAAAATAACGTTATTTCTAGAACAGGTTCTAAACTCATCTAATTATAAACAACTTTTTTTATATACGTGAATTTGTCGAGACATTAGAATATCATGCAAGATATGAGATAATTATATGTATGACTATTCCCCAGAATTTCCAGCATCCTGTACCTTACCCACTACATGCTAATAGCACCCTCCAACATACAGACACACATTGTAATAACCAAAATCACCCTCACAAATGTCCAAAATAACTCCTGAAGTAACACTTTTGCTGAAACTACTGATCTAGACCAAGGGTGGATGGGCTGGTTCATCTGTTTTTGTAAGTAAAGTTTTGTTGGAATACAGCAATGACTTTTCACTTACAAATTACCTATGGCCGCTTTCACCTACAAGGCAAGAGTTGAGCAATTGCGACAGAGATTGTTTGGCCTGCAAAGCCTAAAATATTTACCATCTGCCTTTTAAAAAAAATTTGCCAGACCCTGATGTAAACGATCTACAGATACTGAAAGTCGTTTCTGAATGGCCTCTGAAGACTGAAACTCATGGTTTCCATATTGTCGTAGTGGAGTTGAATAGTAAACCTAATTGATTCAGGCAAAAATACTCTTCTGTTCTTCTGAATTATCTTGATAATATACCACTACAGCAGGAAGGGAGACAGTTATTCGGGGGACTAACAAACTAGGCATGGTGTATTTTTAATATTGTGTTTGAGGATACATAGTCAGTAGGAAATAGAGATTTTTACACATAATTTAGGTGGCAATAGTACTTCTTAATTAATTAGTCTATTTAAAAAGTTTAGAGATATTCCTTACTTAGAAAATGGGAAACATTAAGTATCCATAAGGATAAAATTCTGTTTATTTTGGTGATCGTATTTAGAAATATATTTTTCACTTACCCTTTGATTTTTACTTGATCTTTCTCAGGTCAAAAGAATATTGAATAGGGGCCAGGCATGGTGGCTCATGCCTGTAATGCCAGCACTTTCGGAGGCCAAGGCAGGTGGATCACTTGAAGTCAGGTGTTTGAGACCAGCTTGGCCAATATGGTGAATCCCTGTCTACTAAAAATACAAAAATTAGCTGGGCATGGTGATGCACTCCTGTAGTCCCAGCTACTCGGGAGGCAGAACTGCTTGAACCTGGGAGGCAGAGGTTGCAGAGATCCTAGATTGTGCACTCCAGGCTGGTGACAGAGTGAGACTCCATCTCAAAAAAAAAAAAAAAAAAAAAAAAAATTAGCGGGATGTGGTGGCACACATCTGTGATCCCAGCTACTCAGGAGGCTGAGACAGGAGAATTGCTTGACCCCAGAAAGTGGAGGTTGCAGTGAGCCGAGATTATGCCACTGCCCTCCAGCCTGGGTGACAGAGCAAGACTCTGTCTCCAAAAAAAAAAAAAAGAGAGAGAGAGCGAATATTGGGAGATCATAGCATGAGCATGGCTTTTGAAATCAAACTTATCCCTATCATTTACTCATTGACTATCTTTGAACACAGTACTGAACCATATCCTTTAGTTCTTTTATCTGTAAGGTAAATGTAATAATACCACTGTTAGGATTGTTGTGAGGAATGGATGAGATAATGATGTATAAAATATATATATAGTCTTTTGGGGCATACAGTGAATAGTGACTACCAACAACTGGAGGGCAAATTGGATGCTTTGTGATTTATTAATTTGAAATATCTTTACAATTACTGTAAAAGTGATACTCATTATAAAAGAAAATTGAAACAATTCAGAAAAGCATAAAGAAGAAAGTAATATTTTGAAGAATATTCTTCCAAACCTCTCTCTGTACCTACAGAGATATGCATAATATTTGTCCAAAAAGATAGAGCCTGTCATTATTTTTTAACTGTTTTTTTTTTTTTTTTGAGGCGGAGTCTTGCTGTGTTGCCTGGACTGGAATACAGTGTCTGTTCACAGGTGTGCACTACAGCCTCAAATTCCTGGCCTCAGGTGATCCTCCTGTCTCAGCCTCCTGAGTAGCTGGGACTACAGGGATGTGTCACTTGGCTTGAGCCTGTCATTTTAATGGTCTTGTTTACTCTAGTTTGAAAGTTTTGGGAAGGTCAGAATATTCTGTTCTGTTCATAGAAAATAAGGATCATCTTAAACTAATGTGGATGTTTCTGTTATTCGTTTTCTTGTACTGGTTATTTCAGGTGGAGTTTTGATGAAACAGTGACTCATTTCATCTATCAAGGGCGGCCAAATGACACAAATCGGGAGTATAAATCTGTAAAAGAAAGAGGAGTACACATTGTTTCAGAGCACTGGCTTTTAGATGTAAGCAGTGCTTTTTGTCCCCTCTCTGTTAATTGAATATGTATACAAACATTATTTCAGAGCACTAACTCAGAGTTTTCTCTTTCAGTGGAACTAAAAACCAGTTTAATAATCTTGGTTAACTGTACACATTTCAATTCTTTGGCATCAAAAACTTAAGATCTCTAGTCCTTAAATGCTTAACCAATCTCTAATGGAGACGCTAATTCTCCATTTCCTTTTACTAATTAAAAATGTGATATGAATGGAAAGTTTATAATTATTTGGGGAAAATTTAACGTATCAATAGAGTTTAGGTCTGTTACTTTTTTTCTGGGTATCCTCTGGAGGGTAATTGATACCTTTGCAAAAGCACAGGAATGGTTTCAGATTTTTTACTTCAGTGGATGTGACATTGGAAAAGTGAGGACAATTTGTCATTTGTATGATGCAAATTTTTCAGTGTAACTACTTTTTAAAACTAATTTTGTGAACTTTTTGCCATCTTACATTATAACGTATTGCTTGTCCTTATCTTACTTGACATCTTCTATTCATTAAGATTTTGTCAGTCCTTTGTTAAAGCACACCATTGTATTGCAGTGTGCCCAAGAGAATAAACATCTTCCTGAATCTCTTTATCCTCATACTTATAATCCCAAAATGAGCTTGGATATCAGTGCAGTGCAAGATGGCCGACTCTGTAATAGTCGACTACTCTCAGCTGTGTCTACAACAAAGGATGATGAGGTAGGCATATGGATGATACATTTACCACCTCTTAAGCTACAGGTATAATCGTATAATTGTATATTACTATGAAACCTTATACAGTAGCTTGTTTTGAGAAATTATAATTTTATTTTTCAATAGCCAGATCATTTGATTTTAGAAGAAAATGACATAGACAATATGGCCACCAGTAATAAAGAATCAGCACCATCAAATGAAAATGGAAGGAATGACTCTAAAGGAGGTAAAATATTTTATTTATTTTTAAATTGAAACAATTTTTTTTTTTTGAATCAGGGTCTCACTTTGTTGCCCAGGCTGTATTGCAGTGGCACAGTCATGGCTCACTGAAGCCTCAACCTCCTGGGCTCAGGCGATCCTCCCACCTTCACCTCACAAAGAGTTGGGACCACAGATGCATGTCACCATGTCTGGCAGATGTTGTAATTTTTTGTAGAGATGAGGTCTCGTCATCTTGCCCATACTGGTCAGAAACTCCTGGGCTCAAAGGATCCTCTTGCCTCGTGAGCCACTGTACCCAGCTGTAAAATACTTTTAAATTACTAAATTTGTTTACAAATGTATGTCTTTCTTTCATACAGAATGCTTCCTTTATCAGATAAAAAAATGAAATTATTTTCTATATTGCTAAATACAAGCAAAGCATATATTAGAGGATTGATATGTGGTCCAATGCTGATTATTAAGTGATAATTTGCAAATTTTTGTGTAGTTTAAGTGTAAAGCTTACAAAATATATGAAACTAGATTTTTTTTTTTTTTTTTTTTTTTTTTTTTTTTGAGACAGAGTTTCACTTTTGTTGCCCAGGCTGGAGTGCAGTGGCGCCATCTTAGCTCTTGTTGTCCAGGCTGGAGTGCAATGGTACGATCTTGGTTCACTGCAATTTCTGCCTCCTGGGTTCAAGCAGCTTTCCTGCCTCAGCCTCTCGAGTAGCTGGGATTACAGGCATGTACCACCACACCTGGCTAATTTTGTATTTTTAGTAGAGATGGAGTTTCACCATGTTGATCAGGCTGGTCTTGAACTCCTGACCTCAGGTGATCCACCTGCCTTGGCCTCCCAAAGTGCTAGGATTACAGGTGTGAGCCACTGTGCCTGGCCTGAAACTAGATTTTTATGGAATTATTGTGGTACAGCCCTATTCCATTGAAGGCAGGTGAAGTTGATGATTTTTTAAAAATCTGTTCTTTGTTTCAGTTCTTTTGAGTGATTTTCAAAAAGTGTTCTTATACGTACAATATATTTTAACATATTCATATAGTTTTAAAGATACTAAAAGACATGAAGAGTTTCTTCCACCATTGTTCCCAGTCCCCCAATATTATTAGCTTCTTATGTATCCTTCTAGAGCTGTTTCATGCATATACAGCCATAAATATGTTTTTTTCTCCCATTTAAAAAAAAACGTAAATGGTGGACTACCAAGCATGCTATTTCATACACTGATCTTTTTGTTACCTTGGGGAGTGTTTTATATCAGTGGATAACTAGGACCATCTTTAGTCTTTTTTCTTTTCCTTTTTCTTTCCCTCCCTTTCCTTCCTTTCTTCCTTTTCCCCATTTTCTCTTCCTTTCCCTTTTCTCCTTTTTCTTTCTTTTTGGGCAACTATATTGTATTTATGATGAATGGCCCCGCTTTGTTTAGACATCCATTCTTAATAGGCATTTAGGTTATTTCTACTTCCTTGCTCCTTATATATGGATGTCTTTTTAACAGATTAATATGTTCTATTTTCCTTACTTATTCTAACCTACCAAAGCTTTCCCTATATGACTTACCTATTTGGTTAGTCTCAGTCTGTACATTCCATAAGTATTTAATACCTACTCCAGAGTTTAGGCTTTAAGGAAACTGAAGGTAAATCCAGTTGTCTTGTTCCTTGGTTATGCATGGGGTATTGGTTCCAAGGACTTACCTCTGGTACCAGAATCTACAGATGCTTAGTCTCTTATGTATAAAATTATAAAATGCATAGGATTTGATTTTAACCAATGCACATCCTCCTGTATATTTTAAATCATCTCTAGATTACTTATAATACCTAATATACTGTAAATGTTTTGTAAATAGTTGTTTTATTTTTTTACAGATGCTTTTTTGTGGCATTGTTATTTTTCATTTTTATGTCTTTAAAATATTTCTGATCCATACTTGGTTGAATCCATGCATGCAGAACCGGTGGATGTGGAGGGCTGGCTGTATGTTGTGGTCTGTGTTTTCAAGACCCGTTAGGAAGTCTGGGCATGATGGGCAACGCTATAATCCCAGAGCCTTGGGAGGCCAAGGCAAGAGGATCACTTGATGATAAGAGTTCCAGACCAGCCTGGGCAATATAAGTGAGACCTTGTCTCTACAAAAAAATTTAAGTTAGCCAGGCATGGTGGTGTGCACCTGCAGTGCCAACACTCAGGAGTCTGAGGCTGGAGGATCACTTGAGCCCAGGAGGTTATAATGAGCTGTGATCATACCACTGCAGTCCAGCCTGGGCCACAGAGCAAGACCCTGTCTCTAAAAAAATAAAAAGAATCTTTGGGAAAAATCAGTCACCTACACAAATGACTATAATACATCTCAGAGTGCAGTACATACCATGAGAGTCAGAAGCAGGCGGGGAGCTTTACAGAAGGGTAAACACTCAGGTCTTGATGAAATGTCTTTGAAGGGGGTCGGGCATGGTGGCTCACACCTGTAATCTTAGCACTGTGATCCAGGTGGGCAGATCACCTGAGGTCGGGAGTTCAAGACCAGGCTGGCCAACAGGGTGAAACCCCATCTCTACTAAAAAATGCAAAAATTAGCTGGGCGTGTTGGCAGGCACCTGTGATCCCAGCTACTTGACAGGCTGAGGCAGGGAGAATTGCTTGAACCCAGGAGGCGGAGTTTGCAGTGAGCTGATATCTTTGTAAAAAAAAGTCTTTGAAGGGCTTCCTAGTCATTACATGTACAGTGCTTGTGTTAAGGGCTGCTTTTTATGTTCTACAGTATTCATAGTCTGAGTACATTACTGTGGTCTGTAGTTAGTATGCAGTAAATGTCAAGTCAGTAAGTTTGTGTTCAACCAAGTCTAAACAAATTAATGTAAGATAATGGTTTAAAAAAGAGAGAAACTTACCTTGAATGGTGTATTTGTGTTTGTTTCAAGTTCTGACACAGACCTTAGAGATGAGAGAGAACTTTCAGAAGCAGTTACAAGAGATAATGTCTGCAACGTCAATAGTGAAACACCAAGGGCAGAGGACTTCCCTTTCAAGAAGTGGCTGTAACAGTGCATCTTCAACCCCTGACAGCACTCGCTCTGCTCGCAGTGGACGCAGTAGAGTCCTAGAGGCACTGAGGTGTGTACCTGTCACTGATGGCAGAAAGACTAGATGACTTGAGAGAAAGGTAGCCCCTTATTAGGTACCTGCTGCTGACTCAGTTCCATGAGCTTGACCTAATTTAGCTTTTTTTCCCCCCAATATGCAGTAAAAGAAATGTAAAATATCAAGACTAGTGAAGGGGTTATACACCTAGGCCTTATTTAGCCCAAACGATAAATGTTATATTCCAGTATTATCTATTGCCTTTGGCTCTCTGCTGACTATATTTTCCTTCCTCTCTTGTCCTTCTGCTCCTTGCTCCCAGCAGTTCTAGACTTCTTACTCGAAGGTGGCAGCAGACATAGAGGTTTGTCTTATAGCATAGCAGCACCTGCTTCACAGTGAGGCATGATTGGTACTTTTTATTACCTCCATTGAGAAAGAAATTATTTTAAGGTCTAATTGCCCTCATTTGAAATGGATTCAGTAGGCAGTTCTCTCTGCTCTTTAGTATTAGTATTTGATATATTTGTATTAAACAGTAAGTACACATATATATATTTCTTTCAGACTCTGTTTTTCCAATGCAGTATATAACATTTTAAAGTTATTTTTTATTGGAATTTTGCGTGCGTTTTCTGTTCTCCTTGTAAAATTTATCTTCTAGAAAAGGCGATTACAGTTTTTAGTATGATGTGACTTATGTTGAGTTGCGTTACTTCATCTTTTTCCTGATAGAAGAAAAAACTGTAATTGTGTGATAAGTATTATGGGACTTGTATTTTCAATGGACTAATTGAACTATGCATTTATCTTATGCTAACTGTGTATTATGAGGAAGTTCTTTATCTCAGTACTGAGTAAAGTAGCTTTTTGTTTAATATGCTTCAGATCATGTTTTATCATTATAGAGAACCTACATCCTGTACCAAGTCAGAGTAAATATACTCTGAACATAAAAAGCTATACTCTTTATTTTTGAGGCAAAGTAACTCTTTGAGGATACCATCAGCTTTGGTAAATTGCTTTGTGGGTTTTTTTTTTTCTTCTCCACAGTGTAAGTTTTATGTATGGTAAATTATTTTTACCAAGAATGAATGAGTGAATATAAAGAAAATCATAGGACTGCTGTTTACTGTCAAGTGGAATCATTACGATTGCACCGTAAAATGCGCTTCCCTGTGATTCAGCATATGGCTGTTCTGTCATAGACTCTGGAAGTGGTTACCAATGGCCAAAAGGCCCTTCTGAGAAGGCAGCCTTTGCAGTAAGCCTTCCACATAATCATAGTGCTTATAATTTCAAGTAATTAAAAAATACAACTACTGTTAAGTAACCATAGTGTTGGAAACATTACCCTGTTTCCCTAACCTGTATAATTAAAGAAAATCCCATTTTAAAATGTAGCAATTACTTTAGGGTTTTTTTTGTTTTTTTTTTTTTCTTTTTTTGAGACAGAGAGTTTCTCTCTTTTTGCTCAGGCTGGAGTGCAATGGCATGATCTCAGCTCACTGCAACCTCCACCTCCCAGGTTGAAGTGATTCTCCTGCCTCAGCCTTCTGAGTAGCTGGGATTACAGGCATGCACCACCATGCCCAGATACTTTTTTTGTATTTTTAGTAGAGACTGGGTTTCTCCATGTTGGTCAGGCTGGTCTCGAACTCCCGACCTCAGGTGATCCACCCGCCTCAGCCTCCCAAAGCGCTGGAATTACAGGTGTGAGCTGCCAAGCCCAGCTTATTTTATTATTCTAAAGAATTTCTTAACAGTGTTGAATTTATCTTTTGAAGTTTTAATTCTATAGACATTTAGTTAAAATACGTGTTTCTAGCTACAACAGATAACTTTCTGGAAGAAACCTTAAACCTCTTTTTTTTTTTTTTTTTTTTTTTTTTTTTTGAGACGGAGTTTTGCTCTTGTTGCCCAGGCTGGAGTGCAATGGCGTGATCTCGGCTCACCGCAACCTACGCCTCCTGGGTTCAGGCAATTCTCCTGCCTCAGCCTCCTGAGTAGCTGGGATTACAGGCACACGCCACCATGCCCAGCTAATTTTTAGTATTTTTAGTAGAGACGGGGTTTCACCATGTTGACCAGGATGGTCTTGATCTCTTGACCTCGTGATCCATCCGCCTCGGCCTCCCAAAGTGCTGGGATTATAGGCTTGAGCCACCGTGCCCGGCTATTTAATATTTTTAATGCTTGCTTTATACTAGAGGGTGGGCATATAAAGGTGAGCCACAACTTTTATTGTCTAACTTATGGATTTAACGAGTTTGGATTTGTTATTGCTGTTTATTTAAAACTGTCACTTTTATTCCTCAGGCAGTCTCGTCAAACAGTACCTGATGTCAACACAGAGCCCTCCCAAAATGAACAGATCATTTGGGATGACCCTACAGCAAGGGAGGAGAGAGCAAGGCTCGCCAGCAATTTGCAGTGGCCTAGTTGTCCCACACAATACTCTGAGCTTCAGATTGAAATTCAAAACTTGGAGGATCCTCCTTTTCAAAAGCCTTTACATGATTCAGAAATTGCTAAACAGGGTAACAAGAACGAAATCTTTGTATTTGTATTAAGTACATGTTGACCTCTTAAAAAGAAACAGATGAGCATGTTGTAGTTCTCTGAACTGAATATGCAAACAAAATCTTAGTAGATATTTCTGGTTTTAGTTTAAACTTGAGTCAGAAAAATAACTTATAGGCCGGGCGCGGTGGCTCAAGCCTGTAATCCCAGCACTTTGGGAGGCCGAGGCGGGTGGATCACGAGGTCAAGAGATCGAGACCATTCTGGTCAACATAGTGAAACCCCGTCTCTACTAAAAATTCAAAAAATTAGCTGGGCATGGTGGCACATGCCTGTAATCCCAGCTACTCAGGAGGCTGAGGCAAGAGAATTGCCTGAACCCAGGAGGCGGAGGTTGCGGTGAGCCGAGATCGCGCCATTGCACTCCAGCCTGGGTAATAAGAGCGAAACTCCGTCTCAAAAGAAAAAAAATGATAAGAAAAATAACTTATAAATCGAGGTACTTCATCAGTAAATTGAAAAACATTTTCGGCCAAGAGCCATGGCTCATGCCTGTAATCCCAGCACTTTGGGAGGCTGAAGCAGGCGGATCATGAGGTCAGGAGTTGGAGACCATCCTGGCCAACATGGTGAAACCCCATCTCTCCTAAAAATAACAAAAATTAGCTGGGTGTGGTGGTGCAGGCCTGTAACGCCAGCTACTCTGGAGGCTGAGACAGGAGAATTCCTTGAACCAGGGAGTAGGGGATTGCAGTGAGCCGAGGTCGCACCAGTGCACTATAGCCTGGTGACAGAGCAAGACTCCGTCTCAAAAAAAAAAAAAAAAAAAAAAAAAAATTCATTCTTAAATATGGAAATTTAGAATTGGGCATTTTTTTCTAGACATGATGTTTACCATTGTTCTTCTAGGCCTTTTTGTATTTATGGAATGTATGCTTGGTTTTCCTGCCTATCTTGTTTTCATTTAAGTCTTCTGAATTCTGCCTAGCGTGTACCTATATTTGTTCTTTGGATTGTATGAGTTTCTTTCTGAATTCTGCTATTTTTTTCATCCTTGCGCTTTACTTTGAAACAAAATGTTTCCTATCTCTCATCTTTTTTCTTCCTTTTCACATCGCATGAATACCTCCCTACGTTACATATATATATTTATCTCTGCTTCTGCTTTTCTGCAAGTGTAGAATTGTGCTCATTTTACAAATTTGGGTTACACTTAATGAAAACTTGCTGTTTAAGGAAAGTGTTGGGAGAAGCCTACAGATAACACATTTGCTCCCTTCAATGTTTAATTTCATTATTTTTTCCTTACTATTATATTGCCACAGGCAGATGGGATGCATTCATTTATAAGTTCTGGAGATAAGACACTTTATTCCACATACATTTTACATTCTAGAGTTTGTGCTTAACTTCATCTTGGCTAAGACAGATGAGAGTATTTCCTAGAATTTGTTTTTAGTCATATTTGGATACTGTCACACTGCAGCATTTTATTATCTTCAGCTCTCTGTGATCCTGGAAACATACGTGTGACGGAAGCCCCCAAACACCTGATCACTGAAGAACTGGAAACTCCCATAAAAGACAGCCACCTGATTCCTACACCTCAAGCCCCCAGTATTGCCTTTCCACTCGCCAACCCCCCTGTGGCTCCACACCCTAGAGAAAAGGTTTGTTGATCCTTGATGGTGATACAGCTTTTGGATATTGCTCTTACGCTGTATTAGAAATTTATTGATATCGATATCAAGGCTTCATCAAATGTTGAAAAGTATAGTTTTTGCATTGTATTAGTATTTATATATTTGATAACTTAGAAGACTGAATAAAATGCCACTATAAAAGAACTGTATATCTGATCACTTTTAATGTTGATTTTTTCTAAAATAAAACTTTCATTCCAGATTATAACAATAGAGGAGACTCATGAAGAATTGAAAAAACAGTACATATTTCAGTTATCATCTCTGAATCCTCAAGAACGTATTGACTATTGTCATCTGATTGAAAAACTAGGTAACAGTATTTTACTTAAATCAAAAATGTCCCATATAATAACCGTATTTGGAAGTCAGATGTCAATATTATTTGTAAAGACTAGAAGTAAAGGAAAAGATCGCGGGTAACTTGTCTAAGGCTGTACATTGAGTCAGCATTGGAATTTTGATTTTAAAAAGCTCTAAAGTCAGTACGTCATGGGATTTAAATTTTAAATGGAATATAACAGTTGAGGTTTAAGCATCTTCCGTGCTGTTTGACTGTTTGTTCACTAATGAAGCTTTAAAAACTTACTATATAAATAAAACCACATTTTAATGAACTGGAAAGGTTAATAGTATCTAGAGAGGAGCTTGTTGTTGTTGTTGTTGTTGTTGTTGTTGTTTTCCAGTTAGAAATTCATTGTGGAGGCCGGGCATGGTGGTTCACGCCTGTAATCTCAGCACTTTGGGAGGCCAAGGCTGGCAGGATCACTTGAGGTCAGGAGTTCGAGACTAGGCTGGCCAACATAGTAAAACCCATCTCTACTAAAAATACAAAAAATTAGCTGGGTGTGGTGGCACACACCTGTAATCCCAGCTACTTGGGAGGCTGAGGTTGGAGAATCACTTGAACCTGGGAGGCAGAGGTTGCAGTGAACCAAGATCATGCCACTGCACTCCAGCCTCGGCAACAGAGCAAAACGCTGTCTCAAAAAAAAAGAAAGAAATTCAATGGAAAAGAGGTCCTTCTTGTGTAACATTATTCTTCATTTTTAATTTTTTTTTCTTATTTATTCTTATTCCACTGGTTATCAGGCTTTCCACCTGACATCATTCTAGAAGCCGCATAGTAAAAGAGCAGTCTGGTATGCTATAGCAGCACTGTCCGATAGAAATAGAATGTGAGCCACATATGTCATTTTAAATTTCCTAGTAGCTGCATTTTAAAAACTAAAAAGAGGCTGGGTGCCGTGGCTCCTGCCTGTAATCCCAGACTTTGGGAGGCTGAGGTAGGAGGATTGCTTGAGCCCAGGAGTTCAAGACAAGCGTAGGCAACATAGTGAGGTCCCATCTCAAAAATAAAAAGTAGCAAGTGAAATGAACTTTCACTTACCATGTCTTCACTTATCAGGCCTGCCTCAGTCTCCCAAAATGCTGGGATTACAGGTGTGAGCCACCACACCTGGCTGAAATAATGATTTTTAATAGTGGCCCTGAATCATTAGGAAAAGATTAAATGTTATTTAGTGCCATTTTTTTAAGAATGTGGAGAACTATGATATGCTTTTTTTTTTTTTGAGACGGAGTTTTTTGCGCTTGTTACCTAGGCTGGAGTGCAATGGCGTGATCTCGGCTCACCACAACCTCCGCCTCCTGGGTTCAGGCAATTCTCCTGCCTCAGCCTCCTGAGTAGCTGGAATTACAGGCACACGCCACCATGCCCAGCTAATTTTTTGTATTTTTAGTAGAGACAGGGTTTCACCATGTTGACCAGGATGGTCTCGATCTCTTGACCTCGTGAGCCACTGCGCCCAGCCTGATACGCTTTTTTTAAAAAAAGAAAAAATTTATGTCAAATACAGTTGTATACTTGGAAAAACTCTTTCTTCTTAGAAACTTTGTACTCATAAAACACATTGTTTCCCAGTTGCCTGATAACTTAGATGAGGTTATAAATCAGAATTGCCAAGTTTTACCCAGAACTCATGAAAATAAAAGGCTTCAAGTGTCTGTCTCCTGTAGATTTTTCCATCTCTGCAAACTTTAGGCAAGAGTGATAGCAGTTAGCAGAGAACTGATCTAGAAGAGGGCAAGGAGCAGAGGCACATGAGTACAGATTATTCTGGAATTGGGAGTTTGCAACTCTAGAGGTTTTCTAATATTAGAATGCAAAGAAACATTATAATAGATATCATGCCCAGCCCCTCATTTTATAAATGAAGCAACTGTAGCCAATTGATAAATATGTAAATCAGTCTATTATGTTATCTGGGTCACAGAATAAGTTTGTTATATAGAATTGGAAATTGATATTTATTATGTTAATAAGGAATTTTACCTTCTTGTTCTTCTGTCACTATGTGATCCTGGGTAAGTTACTGGTTTTCATTGCATAAATGCAAATAATAGTAACCTTCCTTCATATGGTTGTCAGAATTAATCGAGTTAGTAATTTGGAGCACTTGTAATAGTTTCTGGTTTACAGTAAATGTTCAAAAAGTGTTGCTGTTATTATTAGAGGCATCTTAAATTATGAGTTTGAATGTTTTGTTAAAATCTTAGAAAGTCCTTGATATAACTAATTCTGCCAAACCAGTAGTCAAGTTAACCTCTAAAAGTTAACCTCTAAAATGTAACAGGCATGCTTTACATAAGCTTATAGTTAGTTAAGCCTTTTTTCCTCAGTCAGGCTTCATACATTTATATCTGAGAAGAGGTTCAGTTACTGCTTTTTCCCACTTGCTGCTTCATCTCTGTTTGTGTTCTTCCCAAGCTTCTGTGTTGGTCTGCTGACCTTGTTTCCACTCACAAAAAATTTCCTCCTATTTTAAAGTCTACAAATGCCCCTATTTTACTTCCATCTCCCTGGTTACCCATATTCAGTGCTTGAAAACTGCTTTGGTAGTTGAGACTTAAGAAATATAACTAGTGTGTGACTCATGTTTATGTTCTATTTCTTTTTGTATCCAACTTATAACAATCCGAGTGCAGACAAACAGGAAAAATTGAACAAAGATTTAGTATTGAGACAGCAAAGAATCTGTTAATTATATTAGATCTGATCATGGCATTATGGTTTAAGAAAATTTCCATGTAGTTTAGAGATGCATACTGAAATATTTAGGGGCTAGTAACATGTATCTAGAATTTGCTTTAAAATAGTTAAGCAGGGCCAGGTGTGGTGGCTCATACTTGTAATCCCAGCACTTTGAGAGGCCAGGGCAAGTGGATCACTTGAGGTCAGGAGTTCAAGACCACCCTGGCCAACATGGTGAAACCCCATCTCTACTAAAAATAGAAAAATTAAGCCGGGCACGGTGGCTCAAGTCTGTAATCCCAGCACTTTGGGAGGCCAAGGCGGATGGATCACAAGGTCAAGAGATCGAGACCATCCTGGTCAACATGGTGAAACCCCGTCTCTCCTAAAAAAATAAAAATAAAAAAAATTAGCTGGGCATGGTGGCGCGTGCATGTAATCCCAGCTACTCAGGAGGCTGAGGCAGGAGAATTGCCTGAACCCAGGAGGCGGAGGTTGCGGTGAGCCAAGATCGCGCCATTGCACTCCAGCCTGGGTAACGAGCGAAACTCCGTCTCAGGAAAAAAAAAAAAATAATAGAAAAATTAGCCAGGCTGTACTGGTATGTGCCTATAATCCCAGCTACTCAGGAGGCTGAGGCAGGAGAATCACTTGAGCCAGAGGTTGTGGTAAGCCAAGATTGTGCCAGTGTACTTCAGTCTGAGACCCTGTCTCAAAAAAATAAAAACAGAATACAGTAGTAAAGCAAAAAAAAAAATAGGTTGCAAAATTTTGATAATTTTAGAATATAGTTAGCCAGTGTTTGTGTGGGGGTTCATTTTACTGTTTTACTTTTGTATTTAAAATGTTTATAATAAATGTTAATACATATGTATATAAAGTAAAATAATTCTAAGTCAAGGTTTTTTGGTTTATATGGTTTGGGGCATTTTATTTATAGACAATTTCTATGCATAGCTGAGATTACATTTTTCATAGAAAGAAGTTCAGAATCAATAAAGTACAACCAGTTTTTCTCTATTTAAGGTGGATTGGTGATAGAAAAGCAGTGCTTTGATCCCAGCTGTACACACATTGTTGTGGGACATCCACTTCGAAATGAGAAGTATTTAGGCTCTGTGGCAGCTGGGAAGTGGGTGCTTCATCGCTCCTACCTTGAAGCATGCAGGACTGCTGGACACTTCGTGCAGGTGTGTATTCAGATTTGCGGAAGTTTATTTTTCGTTAAGAGTAAGTGTCTGCTGGCATGATGGCCAACACCTGTAATCTTAGCACTTTGGGAGGCCAAGGTGGGTGAATCACCTGAGGTCAGAAATTTGAGACCTGCCTGGCCAACATGGTGAAACCCCGACTCTACTAAAAATATAAAAGTTAGCCAGGGGTGGTGGTGAGCACCTGTAATCTCAGCTACTCAGGAGGATGAACCAGGAAAATCACCTGAACCTGGGAGGCAGAGGCTGCAGTGAGCTGAGATCACACCATTGCACTCCAGCCTGGGCGATATAATGAGACCCCATTTCTACAGAAAATAAAAGTAATTAGCTGGGCATGGTGGTTCCCACCTGTAGTTCCAGCTACCTAGGAGGCTGAAGTGGGAGAATTGCTTGAGCCTGGGAGGTCAAATCAGGATCCTGTCTCTAAATAAATAAACAAATTTATTTACTTTAAAAAGTAAATCTCAGGGCCGGGCGCGGTGGCTCAAGCCTGTAATCCCAGCACTTTGGGAGGCCGAGGTGGGTGGATCACGAGGTCGAGAGATCGAGACCAACCTGGTCAACATGGTGAAACCCCGTCTCTACTAAAAATACAAAAAATTAGCTGGGCATGGTGGCGCATGCCTGTAATCCCAGCTACTCAGGAGGCTGAGGCAGGAGAATTGCCTGAGCCCAGGAGGCGGAGGTTGTGGTGAGCCGAGATCGCGCCATTGCACTCCAGCCTGGGTAACAAGAGCGAAACTCCATCTCAAAAAAAAAAAAAAAAAAAAAAAAGTAAATCTCAGATTCCATCACATATGCTGACTGCTCATATAATTGAAATAACCAAATATGGCCAGTTGGAGTATACCAACTTTTTTAACCAAACCAAACAACAACAACAAAACTAGAGATCACAGAGCCAGATTCATCACTTTTCATCACTTTTTAAATCATTTAATTTGAATGTCAGTCTTGTTTTTAATTGAAATAATTTTCTTACTCAGAGTTTCAGAATTATCTCATTGTAAGCTTTGATCTTTACTACTACCCTATTAAACTAATTACTTGAAGTATTTTGGTTCCTAACTGGACATCACAGTAATATCCCACCATGTAGTTTTTTTTGGTTTTTTTTTTGTTGTTGTTTTTTTGAGACGGAGTTTCGCTCTTGTTACCCAGGCTGGAGTGCAATGGTGCGATCTCGGCTCACCACAACCTCCGCCTCCTGGGTTCAGGCAATTCTCCTGCCTCAGCCTCCTGAGTAGCTGGGATTACAGGCACGTGCCACCATGTCCAGCTAATTTTTTGTATTTTTAGTAGAGACTGGGTTTCACCATGTTGACCAGGATGGTCTGGATCTCTCAACCTTGTGATCCACCCGCCTCGGCCTCCCAAAGTGCTGGGATTACAGGCTTGAGCCACCGTGCCTGGCCACCATGTAGTTTTTGAGCTTCCTATTAGGGTCCCTTAGGGATCTCTTCTATAGACCAATAATCAAGTTGTCAGTACCTGTACCTCCTCTGAGACTCTGTCCTTCGATGAAGTCAGTCTTACTGCAGGTGAAATTTCTTCATCTGAATATTACCAGTTCCCAAGATATAGCTATCATTTTGTTTCTTAAAAATGTATATGATATTTTTCTGATTTCTAATTAAAAGCCAAATATACTTGACTCTTATTGAAACTAATTTTTTTTATTATTATTTAATTTTTTAAAGACGGGGTTTCACCACGTTGGTCAGGCTGGTTTTGAACTCCCGACCTCAGGTGATCCACCCACCTTGGCCTCCAAAGTGCTTGGATTACAGGCGTGAGCCACCACGCCTGGCCTGAAACTAAATTAATGTACATTTCTTCCATGCTCACAAAACAGTATTTACTTAGTATTCTCTGTATTTACAACAATTAAATGTAGAGCTTTAGCCGTTATTAGACTTTGAGCTCCTTGAGGAGCCCTGTATGTTGCATTGTGGCTCCCCAAACTGTAGCAACTCGTGTTTGTTGGACAAATTCTCTAGGAAGAAGACTATGAATGGGGAAGTAGTTCCATACTTGATGTTTTGACTGGAATCAATGTACAGCAACGAAGACTAGCACTTGCAGCAATGAGATGGAGAAAAAAAATCCAGCAAAGACAAGAATCTGGCATTGTTGAGGTATTAACATGCATAATTATATAGGTAATACAAATAGCAAGAGAATGTGCTTGAGGAAATAATGATTCTACTTGTCTTTTATTCTTTGATATGCTTAGTTTGGGCATAGCTTACTTTCAGTTCCTGGTTCTTTTAATTGTGTTTGACTTTAAGATACATACATATATATATATATATATATATATATATATATATATATATATGTATAATTTTGATGTCTTTTTAAAAAATAATGTATCTATGTAAAATGTGGCCCATATTGCATTTCTTTCTAAGAATCTTTTCAGCGTCTAATGTCAGGTGTTCTTGACCTGAATTCACAGACTGTCTCAAAGGAATTTGTAGATCAGCTCTGGGAAGGCCATGTACTTTACATGGGGAGAAAAATACCTATTTATTTTTACTAACCTCTAATTGAAAATTAGCACTTCCCAGGCCGGGCAAGGTGGGTCACGCCTGTAATCCCAGCACTTTGAGAGGCCAAGGCAGGTGGATTACCTGAGTTCTGGAGGCCAAGACCAGCCTGGCCTACATGGTGAAACCCCATCTCTACTAAAAATACAAAATTAGCCTGGTATGGTGGCACATACTTGTAATCCCAGTTACTCAGGAGGCTGAGACAAGAGAATCACTTAAACCAGGGAGGTGGAGGTTGTGGTGAGCTAAGATTGTGCCATTGCACTCCAGCCCGGGCAACAAGAGCGAAACTCCATTTCAAAAAAAAAAAAAAGAAAAAGAAAGAAAAAGAAAAAAATTAGCACTTTCCTTTTTTTTTTTTTTTAATTTTAATCAGCCTACATCATGCTTTGAGTAAACTAGCACTTCCTTTAAGTTCTAAGCAACAAATCACAACACTATCAACTATACCCTTAACTGCACTAACAGAAATCAGATGTTTTTGTTTTGCATTATAATTGTAAGCATCTTGAAATACTGTTTGTGTTCATCAGAACTTTATATTATTTGTTAACTGTTTATTTATCAAGAGAAACTGTTACTTAGGCCACATGTTCATGTTTTATAGTTCAGGAACACAAGCCAATTGCAAACTTCTATGTATTAATTAAGTCCAGGCCAGGCACCGTGGCTCACGCCTGTAATCCACCACTTTGGGAGGCCGAGGCGGGCGGATTACAAGGTCAAGAGATTGAGACCAGCCTGGCCAACATTGTGAAACCTCTCTCTACTAAAAATACAAAAATTAGCTGGACGTGGTGGCGTGTGCCTGTAGTCCCAGCTACTTGGGAGGTTGAGGCAGAAGAATTGCTTAAACTCAGGAGTCAGAGGTTGCAGTGAGCCTCGATTGTGCCACTGTACTCCCACTTGTGACAGAGCAAGACTCTGTCTCAAAAAAGAAAAATAATAATTCAGTCCAAAGAAATTCTTTATATTCCAAAATGACTTTGTACTCTGAAACATAATTGCACTCTTCATCTCAGAATCTTCTGTGGAATCATAACTTTAGAAATCTGCATATCCTTTCTCTTTTGGTTCAACCACAGCAAACAGAGCTATAATCCCAAGGATACAGTGAATGCTTCCACAATATGAAACCACAGACAGTAGGCCAGAAGGCCACATATCTAAGGTTTCATCAAAGCACTGGAAGCCATATTAGTTACTGTCTTCTACTTTGAAACTACAGTAGTTATTAAACCCATCACTAGGTCATATGATTTAATATACTAATATAAAGCATATCTATAATTACATTACAAATTTGTTTTTAATATTTTGATAACTTTCAATAAAATGGCTTCCTTTTGTAATCCTTTATATTTTATTTTTAACATTTTTCTCAAAATCACCCATATGGTTTGGGAATTATGTCTCAATACAGCTATTACTGAGAGGAGTCTAATGACCAGACTGCCAGATGGACCCATGGTTGCTTGTATTAGCTCATTCTCATGCTGCTATAAAGAAACACTGGAGACTCGGTAGTTTATAAAGAAAAGAGGTTTGACTCACAGTTCCACGTGACTAGGGAGGCCTCAGGAAACTTAAAAGTCATTGTAGGCCGGGCGCGGTGGCTCAAGCCTGTAATCCCAGCACTTTGGGAGGCCGAGGCGGGTGGATCACGAGGTCAAGAGATCGAGACCATCCTGGTCAACATGGTGAAACCCCGTCTCTACTAAAAATACAAAAAATTAGCTGGACATGGTGGCACGTGCCTGTAATCCTAGCTACTCAGGAGGCTGAGGCAGGAGAATTGCTTGAACCCAGGAGGCGGAGGTTGCGGTGAGCCGAGATCGCGCCATTGCACTCCAGCCTGGGTAACAAGAGTGAAACTCAGTCTCAAAAAAAAAAAAAGTCATAGTGGAAGGGGAAGCAACAAACATGTCCTTCACATGGTGGCAGGAGAGAGAAGTGCAGAGCAAAGTGGGGAAAAACTCCTTATAGAACCATCAGATCTCATGAGAACAGCAATGGGGAGATCACCCCAGCAATCTGAACACCTCCCACAAAGTCCCTCTCCCAACACATGGGGATTATAATTCTGATTACAATTCAAGGTGAGATTTTGAGTGGGGACACAGCCAAACCATTATCAGAACCCCTGAGATAAATAATCTTTCATGTGGTATTCCAAGTCTCTGATTCAATCTCCAAATCCTTATTAGCCATGAGTCCCTCCCTTTTAGATTAATTCCACTGGCTTTTGTTAGTTGTTATTCCCTACCTAAATATTTTGTTTTCAGTTTGCATACATTTTTAAGAGAAGTAAAATGCAGGCTTCATCTAACCTAAAAAGCTGTGCTTTAAGGTCTTCCCTTGATTAATCATAAGAAAAAAAAATACCAGTCAAGATTAAACATAATTCATGCTGTTTTGTTTTAATATTACCTAATCATTAAATGGTTTTTCATTCCTCAGGTATTTGATGGCCTACTATGTGCCAGATACCATGGATTCACGTTTCAGTGTTCTGATCAGATATAATTATACTGTAGCAAAAGTGAAGTTTATAAGATTTGACATAAAACTAAATCTACAGATAAAATTGTGCATTATCAGTATTATTTTGTTGGTTATTTTCCAAATGATTTCACCACAGATTATTTTTTAATTGTAGGGAGCATTTAGTGGGTGGAAGGTTATTTTACATGTGGATCAGTCTCGAGAAGCAGGCTTCAAACGCCTTCTTCAGTCAGGAGGAGCAAAGGTTTGTATTGAATTAATTTACTGACCTTTTTGCATAAGTAATTAACAAAGATTGCTATGAACAGTTCTTCATTTTCTCTACTTTTTAAAATAATCCTTAAATACACATGATACAACTGAACTACCTTGGAATACTGGTAGATTGTGATACTGCTTGTTTTTTCATTAGGTGCTACCTGGTCATTCTGTATCTTTATTTAAAGAGGCCACACATCTTTTTTCCGACTTGAATAAACTGAAACCAGATGACTCGGGAATTAATATAGCAGAAGCTGCTGCCCAGAATGTGTACTGCTTGAGAACAGAATACATTGCTGACTATCTTATGCAGGTTTGTGAGATTCTATCCTTGACCACCTCATTACCAGAGATATGCTTCTATGCATAAACCAGTAACTGCACAACAAAACCTTCAGCTCATGATTAGTAGAATGTTAGTCTCCTGTTATTCTCCTCTATTCAACCCCTTTCACTTTTATTCTATTTGTATTTTTTATAATAATGAACACATTAAGTAAACATTTAGCTTGGAAGTTAAATACGAGAAGAGTATAAAAATCTAGGTACCTCTAAAGGCTTTAAAAATACCCTTTAAAATGTTGGAATATAGGCCGGGCGCGGTGGCTCAAGCCTGTAATCCCAGCACTTTGGGAGGCCGAGGCGGGTGGATCACAAGGTCAAGAGATCGAGACCATCTTGGTCAACATGGTGAAACCCCGTCTCTACTAAAAATACAAAAAAAATAGCTGGGCATGGTGGTGCGTGCCTGTAATCCCAGCTACTCAGGAGGCTGAGGCAGGAGAATTGCCTGAACCCAGGAGGCGGAGGTTGCGGTGAGCCGAGATCGCGCCATTGCACTCCAGCCTGGGTAACAAGAGCGAAACTCCGTCTCAAAAAAAAAAATGTTGGAATATAAAGAAAGCAGAAATTGATTCCAGGAGTCCAAGGAGAAACATTTATCAAAGGTCCTTTAGTTTTCTTGACTGTTTGCTTTCATATATGGTAAATACCTATGTTAGACAACTGTGGTAAATTTAAGCATTTACTATATGATGGGCCTACTACTCTCATATTCAGAATTGGCCTGTGTTGTGTAATTTGAATGGGCTAAGAAGAATCTTCCTGACACCAGAGCGCCCAAAAGGCTATCAGGAATCAGCAGGGCATGACACATAATCATAAATGTCTTCCTATGAAGAATTTCAAATGGAATGGTATAGAAATAAGGGGAGGTCAGAGGTCAACCTGCTCTGTGATTTTTGCTGCTTATGTTGGGAGACTGCTGAGGATTTCATAGAATGCCTAAAACGTAAATGTGAAGCTGTTATAAAACAGAGGGCATACTGATTAGTATGCACTATTTTTTCGAAGGTTTTCACTCAACATGATGTTTTTGAGATTCTTTGACGTTAAAGTGTATACTAGTAGTTCATTCCTTTTTATTGCTACGTAGTATTTCTTTGTCTGAATATACCATAGTTTATTCATTTTCCTGTTGACGGACCCCTGGGCTGTTTGTCATCTTGGCTGTTACTAGTAAAGCTACTAAAAATACACATGCTTTTTTTTTTTTTTTTTTTTGAGACGGAGTTTCGCTCTTGTTACCCAGGCTGGAGTGCAATGGCGCGATCTCGGCTCACCGCAACCTCCGCCTCCTGGGTTCAGGCAATTCTCCTGCCTCAGCCTCCTGAGTAGCTGGGATTACAGGCACGTGCCACCATGCCCAGCTAATTTTTTTTATTTTTATTTTTTTAGGAGAGACGGGGTTTCACCATGTTGACCAGGATGGTCTCGATCTCTCGACCTCGTGATCCACCCACCTCGGCCTCCCAAAGTGCTGGGATTACAGGCTTGAGCCACCGCGCCCGGCCCACACATGCTTTTTTTAATGGACATTTTTCATTTCTCCTGGTAAATAGGATACAGTTGCTGTGTAATAGAATAAGTAAATATTTCATTTTTAAAGAAGCTGCCAGTCCTTTTGCCAAAAGGATTTTTACCTTTTTTTTTTTTTTTGAGACGGAGTTTCACTCTTGTTACCCAGGCTGGAGTGCAATGGCGCGATCTCGGCTCACCACAACCTCTGCCTCCTGGGTTCAGGCAATTCTCTGGCCTCAGCCTCCTGAGTAGCTGGGATTACAGGCACACGCCACCATGCCCAGCTAATTTTTTTTATTTTTATTTTTTTAGGAGAGACGGGGTTTCACCATGTTGACCAGGATGGTCTCGGTCTCTTGACCTCGTGATCCACCCGCCTCGGCCTCCCAAAGTGCTGGGATTACAGGCTTGAACCACTGTGGCCGGCCCGGATTTTTACCATTTTAACCCATCCCACCAATAATGTACAGATTGAGCATCCCAAATCCAAAAGTTAGAAATATTACAAAATCCTAAACTTTTTGAGCACTGATGTGATGCTCAATGGAAGTGCTTATTGGAGCATTTCAGATTTCTGATTTCTGGATTTGGGATGCTCAACCAGTAAATATAAATATTCCAGAATCTGAAATACTTCTGATTCTAAGCACTACAGATAAGGGATACTTAATTTGTAAAAGTGTTCGGTTTTTCTATATTTTTGCCAACATTGTGTTGACAGTTATTAGATTTTTAGCCATATGGAAGGTTTATAGTGGGAGCACATTGTAGCTTGTAATTTGTATTTCCCTGATGACTAATGACATTGAGCACTTTTCTTTCAGGCTTTTTTTTTTTGGCGGGGCGGGGGGGTGTTCTCTAATATTTTTTTCTGAAAAGTTATTGTTTTAAGCTTTTATGTTTAGCTCTAGGATGTATTACAGATTTATTTTTTCTTTATGCCGTGAGGTAGGGACTAAGGTTGGTTTTTCTCTATACAGATATCTAGCACCATTTGTTGAACAGATTTTCCTTTCCCACAAAAGCTTTGGCACCTTGATAAATCAAATGATCAAATTTTTGTGAGTCTGTTTCTGAACTCTATTCTGTTTTCTTATCTACTTGTTGATGCCTTTCCTACTGCGTCTTGATCGCTGTAGCTGTACAGCAACTTTTGAAGCCAGTGGTAAGACTACAGTTTTAGTTGTCTTTTTCAAGGTTACTTGGGTCTTCCATGTCCTTTGCATTTCCATATGGACTTGAGAATGAGCTTGTTAGTTTCTACCAAAAAAAGGCCTAGAGTGGTTAAGATTAGGACTGCACCGACTCAATAGATCAACTTGGGGACAGTTAGCGTTTTTACAGTATTGCGCATTCTGTTCCATAAACACAGACTGTCTCTATTTAGGTCTTCTTTAATTTCTCTCAGCAACATCTTGTGGTTTTCAGTAAGAGAACTTGCGTGTCTTTTGTTACATTATTTTTTTTTTTTTGAGGCAAGGTCTCACACTGTTGCCCAGGCTGGAGTGCAGAGGTGCGATCTTGGCTCACTGCAACCTCTGCCTCCGAGGCCCAAGAGATCCTTCCACCTCAGCCTCCCAATAGCTGGTACTACAGGCATGTGCCACCATGCCCAACTAATTTTTTTTTTTTTTTTTTGGTAGAGACAGAATTTCTCCAGGTTGCCCAGGCTGGTCGCAAGCAATCCACCTGCCTTGGCTTCCCAAAGTACTGAGATTACAGACCTAAGCCACCATGCCTGGCCTGTCAGTCTTTTATACCCTATGATTGTAATAAAATTTACTTCATACAGTTAGTACCTTAGGCCTTCCTACATAGCATTCATTTTATCTACAAAGAGATTTGTAGATTTTTCCTTTCTTAAGCCTTTTATTTCTCGTTGTTGTCTTCTATGGCTAAGACTTTAAGTATGCTGCTGAATATAAATGGTGAGATTGGGCCTCCTTGTCTTTATTTCCTATCTTAAGTGGAAAATTTTCAGTATTTCACCAGCTATAAGTTCTTCATAGATTTATTTTCCAGATTGAGGAAGAGCCCTTTTATTTCTAGTTTACTAAGATTTATTTTTCATCGTCAGTTGGGCGTTTAACTTTTGTTAAATGTTTTTTTTCTACTTCTGTTGGAGTTGTTACATGGTTTTTCTCTTTCATTCTGTTACTATGGCGAATTACATACATTTGCAAATGTTAAGTTTCACATAAGTATCAATCCCACTTGATCATGCCATATTAATCTTTGTATATATTACCAGATTTATTTAAGAATTTTTAAAATCTATTTTCAGGGTGGAATATTGGTATGTAATTCTCATGTTTTGTAATGTTTTTGTCATATTTTGGTATTAGGGTTTTGCTGGCATCATAAACAAGTTAGGAAGTACTCCCTTGGTTTTCTAGAAGAGTTTGTGTAAAATGCCTGTTTCTTCCTTGAATATTTGAAGATCTGGAGTTTTCTTTCTTTCTTTTTTTTTTTTTTTTTTTTGAGACATGTTCTGGCTCTGTCACCCATACTGGAGTGCAATGGCATGATTTAAGCTCACTGTAGCCTCCGCCTCCTGGGCTCAAACAATCCTCCCACTTCAGCCTCCCAGGTAGCTTGGACTACAAATGTACACCACCACTCCCGGCTAAGTTTTGTATTTTTGGTAGAGATGGGGTTTCAGCATGCTGTGCTCAAGCGATCCCCTCAGCCTCCCAAAGTCCTAGGATTATAGGCGTGATTGCCCAGCCTGGAGTTTTCTTTATATATGGTTTTTGTAACAAACTTTCTTTACTAGATACAGAGCTTTTCCTATTTTTTGTTTCATCATATGTCAGTTTTTAATAACTGGTATTCTCAAATAATATATCTATTTAATCTTGTCAAACTTGTTGGCATAAACTTCTTCATAATAATCTTATTACCCTTTAATTGTAATAAGTTTATTCCTGGCCATACTTGGTGGCTCAGGCCTGTAATCTCAGCACTTTGGGAGGCTGAGGCAGGTGGATCACTTGAGGTCAGGAATTTGAGACCAGCCTGGCCAACATAGTGAAACCCCATCTCTACTAAAAATACAAAAAAAAAATTAGCTGGGTGTGGTGGTATGTGCCTGTAATCCCAGCTACTAGGGAGGCTGAGGCAGGAGAATCACTTGAGCCTGGGAGGCAGAGGTTGCAGTGAGCTGAGATCATGCCACTGCACTCCAGCCTGGGTAAAAGAGCAAGACTCTGTCTCAAAAAAATAAATAAGTTTATTCCTGATGTTGGTAACTTGTTTTCATTTATAACTGGCTTATTTAGGAGTCTGTTGTTTAGTTCCCAAATATAAGAGGATTTTTTTCTATCTTTTTTATTTGTGATTGCTCGTTGAATTCCATTGTAATCACAGAATGTACTCTGATTTTAATTCTTTTAAAGTTATCAAGACTTGTTTTATCACCCCTTCATCTATCTTAATGAACATACCATGTATGTGAAAGATTTTATGTTCTGCAGTTGTTGGATATGGTGTTCTGAAAATATCAAATAGGTCAATGTGGTTGATAATGTTGATCAGATTTTCTGTGTGTTTTTTTGTTTGTTTAGTTATATCAATTACTGATACTAAAATCTCCAGGTGATTGTGGAATTGTCTGTTTTTTCTCTTGAACTCTGTCAGCTTTTACCCCATTTATTTCAAACTTTGTTGCTAGTTGTTTACTCATATAATTTTTGTGATTCGCACATATTCTTTGTTATAACATGTGTCTCTGGGCCTACTTTGTCTTGAATGTACATTGCCTGAGGTTAATAGAGCCTTTATCTGTTTGCTCTGTGCCATGATAACTCTTTTCACGGTTTTTAATTTTAAACTTGTTTGTGTCTTATATGTAAGATGGCTTTGTTATAGACAGGATGTAGTTGGGCCTTGCTCTTTTATTCTTTGGAGTGTTTAGTCCATCATGTAATTATTGATATGAGTGGATTTAGTGATGGGTATTTTGGCTGTTTGTTTTCTGTTTGCTCTTTGTCCTTGTTCTTCCTTTTCTTTCTTGCCTTTTTTTGTGTTAATTTAATATTTTTAGAATTATATCCATTGGCCTTCTAAAGCAAAGATATTTACCTTTTGGAGGGAGGAGTGTTTATATGTAGATTACAAATTATTTTATGAGGCTGCGTACGGTGGCTCATGCCTGTAATCCCAGCACTTTAGAAGACCGAGGCAGGCAGATCACCTGAGGTCAGGAGTTTGAGACCACCCTGGCCAATATGGTGAAACCCCATCTCTACTAAAAATATAAAAATTAGCTGGGTGTGGTGGTGCACACCTATAATCCCAGCTACTTGGGAGGTGGAGGCTGCAGTGAGCCAAGATCGCACCACTACACTTCAGTCTGGGCAACAGAGTGAGACTCCATCTCAAAAAATACAAAATTAGCCAGCTGTGGTGGTGTATACCCGTAGTCCCAGCTACTCAAGAGGCTGAGGCAGGAGAATTGCTTGAACCCAGGAGACAGAGGTTGCAGCCTGGGCAACAAGAGCAAGAGAAAAAAAAAGTTCATTTAGGTGTATTTATTTGTGTGGGTTTCTGGGTTCTTTTTTTCAGTTCCATTGATCCATGTGTCTCTTTCCCTCTGTAGTACTTCCCTGTCTTGATGACTATACCTATATAAAGTAAACTCCAGTATCAGCAGGTGATTCCTTCCACTTTATTCCTTCCCAGACTGTTTTAGCTATTTCAGCAGCTTTTTTTTTTTTTTTTGCCAGTATCTTTTTATATAAGTTTTTAAATAAGCTTATTCATGTCTATAAAAAGAACCTTATTGGAATTTTGATAGGAATCTCATTAAACTTACAGATCATTTTGAATCAGCATCTTTACCACATTGAGTCTTCTATTCCATGAACATAGAATATCTTTATTAATTTAGGTGGTCTTTAATTTTTCATGAGCATTGTAATTTTCAGCATATAAATCCTATGTATGTTTTGTTACGTTTATACCGAAGTATTTCTGTTTATTTAAATGATTCTGATTTTTTCTTAAGAAATGGGTCATGTTTTGCTTCTTTATATGTGGAGTAATTTTGGATATATTCTGGACATCATGAATAAGTTGTAGAAACTGTAGATTCAAGTCTGGCATGGTGGTATACCTGTAGTCCTAGATACTCAGGAGGCTGAGACAGGAGGATTGCTTCAGCTCAGGAGTTTGAGACCAGCCTGGGCAAAATAGTGTGACCCCCATCTCCCCCCAAAAAAGAAACTCTAGATTCTGTTCTGTTCTTTTGCTCCTCCAAAGAGTATTGTGTTATTTAGTAGACAGTGTACTTCATACACTGCATTTGCACCCCCAGACCCCCTATTTGCTTGATTTATTTATTCTCCAGGGTCTGTGGTTGCTTTTAATATATTTTGGTCAGAATTTGTAGTTGTTATCCATGGAAGAACTGAATCAAAAGGCACTTACTTGGTATTTTGTGGTGATTCATTTTCAGGTTGCCCAGTCTGCCGTCTTGCTAGAAATTTAAGTTTTATTACACTCACAATAAGGGGGAAAGATCCATTTCTTGTCTGTTGGTTGTAGGGGGAAAATGCAAGGGTTTTGGAGTCAGATAGGGTATGTAGGGTATGAATTTTGGCTTTGCTGCCTGCTAGTTATGTGACATTGGTTGTTTTATTTTACCTTTTTCATTTTTATCTCTAAAGTGGGAATTAAAAACACTAATACAAAATGTTTGTAAGATCTGAGCTTGCCCCACTCTACCTGAGCTATACATGTATCTCTGATAAAAGGTGAGACTTTGTCCTCCAGCGTCCGTTTTGTTTAATTTGCTAGAACCTAGGAATGAATATGCATTTTAAGTGTATTAGCCTCATCCCTGAGAGGTCTGATATATATATATATGATATATATATATATCATATATATATATATCATATATATATATTTTTTTTTAATATATATTACCAGATCATATAAATGTTTGAAATCATTTAAAAAATCATTTATTTTTCCTTTTATAGGAATCACCTCCTCATGTAGAAAATTACTGTCTACCAGAAGCTATTTCATTTCTTCAGAATAATAAGGAACTTGGGCCTGGATTATCACAAAAGAGGAAAGCGTCTACAGAAAAAAATAAAATCAAAAGACTGAGAGTACACTAATCACATCTACTCTTCAGTTACCTAACATTGGTGTGGGGTGGGGGGGGGAACAGTTACCAAACATTAAATGATTTTAAAAGTTGAAAGCCTGAATGTGACTGTGATGGATTTGGGTAGTTATTTAAAGATGAGTACCTGAAGAATTTTGCTTCAGAGTATAATGATGACCCTTCCTGAGTTTTGAACACCTGAAATTTTAATCACTGAAATACTAACTGTTTCTTAATAAAAAGTTACCCGAAATAACAAAATACAACTCCTCAGCTAGCTTGCTGTTAAACCACATTGAAGTATGTTAAAAGATGTTTATTTTTCTTGTAAATATCTGAAGCTGTAGCTTAGTGGAAATTTTAGTAAGGTGATGGATTTTGCTTTAAAATGTCTGCCTTAATTCATAACAAGATTTGTCAATCAGGATTTATTCATGTTTTCCCTGATTTTTATCTTCTCACCATTTTACCTCTTAACAGGAGCCTGAGCACACAGTTTAATGAGGAAGCTGGGGCTATAAATATGTGTATATATGTATATGTATGTTTGTACAAATCTACATGATGTTTGCCAAGTTTGGGTGTCAAAACTTGGAAAATGTGATAATAAAGAATAAAAGTAGTGACTCAAATTAGTATTAAGATGTGTTTACATAGATAAATTTTTTTAAAAAGCACACCCTGGCATCTGTTCTTCTGTTGAAGCAACAAAACATTTATATAACTTAAAAAATGAATGTAGGCCAGGTATGGTGGCTCATGCCTGTAATCCCACCACTTTGGAGGCCAAGGTGGGTGGATCACTTGAACCCAGGAGTTCAAGACCAGCGTGGATAACATGGCGAAACCTCGTCGCTACAAAAAAAAAAAAAAAAACCCAAAAATTCACCAAGCATGGTGTCTGATGCCTGTAGTCCCAGCTACATGGGAGGTGGAAGCACAAGAACTGCTTGAACTCAGGAGGCAGAGGTTGCATTGAGCCAAGATCATGCCACTGCACTCCAGCCTGGGTGACAGAATGAGACCGTGTCTCAAAAAAAAAAAAAATGCTCATTAACATTTCTGATGTTTGTTATTTAGAATATTGCTGTATTAGATTAAGACATACTTTTATTGGAACACTATATTGTATTAGCCTTCATTATGCTAAACCCAGACACCAAATACTACATGTGCTACCACAGTTCTCTATAAATAATCTGAATTTCGTTTGAAGGACAAACCAGAATCTTTTAGGAATGTAATTTTGATATAAACTATTCGAAATGACTTTTTGAAAGGCAGATTCAAACAATGAAGGAGAGAGCGCTCAACTTGGACACAAAGTCCCTTAAATTTTCATCAGATTTTCTTCAAAATGGAGTAGAGGGTATCCCTGCTGCTAGAGGATTGGCCCTTCAGTTTTCAGCTTTGATCTAATTCACAGTTTAGGACAATACAAATTCCACACAGAGAAATTGGTAGCATTATGATGTAAACATCCCCCTCCCTTCCAACAGACAAAAACCAATGGGCCTGGTTTTATCAGAGCTATTTTAGCTGAATCATTTTATAGATGTATAGTACATTTCCCTGAATTTTATTACTCAAAATTCTTTGAAATAGGCCAGGTGCAGTGGCTCACATCTGTAATCCCAACATGGGCAAAATGGGCAGATCATTTGAGGTCAGGAGTTCGAGACCAGCCTGGTCAACATGGCAAAACCCCATCTCTACTAAAAATACAAAAATTAACCCAGTGTGCTGGCATGTGCCTGTAATCCCAGCTACACAGGAGGCTGAGACAGGAGAATCACTTAAACCAGGAGGTGGAGGTTGCAGTGACCCAAGATTGCGCCACTGCACTCTAGCCTGGGCGACAAAGTGAAACTCCATCTCAAAAAAAGAGACATTATTTGAAATAGTTTTTAAATTAACCTAATCTACCACTTTATTTTCTGCCAAAATTATGAATGGTTTTCCAGTTCAAACAGGCACAGAGTTTACCATTTAAGGCTCCAGGTCTGTTTCTTCTGACTCTCCAGCATCCGCCCATACCCTGTATAAACCACTTGAACTCTGGCTTTGACTCTTCATCTATAAATGTCCTAATGCCAGCAACAATATTCTTTTAAATGCTAATTCCAACCATAGGTAGTCTTGCTTAAAAGGGAGAGGGAGGTGCGGAACTTGCCTTGATTAGATTAGTCTGAGTTTCTTCTCTGAAGCATTTTATTCTGTGATATTTAAATTAGCACTTTATATCCCTCTATGAATTTTCTTGTTAGTCTGATCTCACCAGCATTCCTTAATTCAACAAATAGGAATCCTCAACCTGTGCCTAGGATTCAGCAACAAACCACCTGGACACATGGTCTCTTAGAACTTAAAGAGGTAGGAGCCGGGCGCGGTGGCTCAAGCCTGTAATCCCAGCACTTTGGGAGGCTGAGGCGGGTGAATCATGAGGTCAAGAGATCGAGACCATCCTGGTCAACATGGTGAAACCCCGTCTCTACTAAAAATACAAACAATTAGCTGGGCATGGTGGCGTGTGCCTGTAATCCCAGCTACTCAGGAGGCTGAGGCAGGAGAATTGCCTGAACCCAGGAGGCGGAGGTTGTGGTGAGCTGAGATCGCACCACTTCACTCCAGCCTGGGTAACGAGCGAAACTCCGTCTCAAAAAAAAAAAAAAAAAAAAAAAAAAACAACTTAAAGAGGTAGGAATTCTTAATGTAAATACAGTACTCAATTATACTCAGATTATTTACATTGTTATGGACTGAGTTGTGTCCCCCTAAAATTAACAGGTTAAGGCCTAATCTGCTATGGGATTGTAGATAGAGCCTTTAAGGGGATAAGGTTACCTAAGAATGAGGCCCTACTCCAACAGGACAAGTACCTGCTAATAGGAAGGCACAGCCAGGTGTAGTGGCTCGTGCCTGTAATCTCAGCATTTTGGGAGGCCAAGGCAAGTAGATTACCGACATTAGGAGTTCAAGACCAGCCTGACCAACATGGAGAAACCCTGCCTCTACTAAAAATACAAAATTAGCAGGGTGTGGTGGCGCATGCCTGTGATCCCAGCTACTTGGGAGGCTGAGGCAGGAAAATAACGAACCCAGGAGGCGGAGGTTGTGGTGAGTCAAGATCACACCATTGCACTCCAGCCTGGGCAACAAGAGCAAAACTCTGTGCCAAAAAAATAAAAAGAAGACAGCCAGGCGCGGTGGCTCACACCTGTAATCCTAGCACTTTGGGAGGCTGAGGTGGGTGGATCACCTGAGGTCAGGAGTTCAAGACCAGCCTGGCCATCATGGTGAAACCCCATCTTAAAAAAAAAAAAAAAAAAAAAAGAATAAAAGGAAGACGAGGAAGGCACACCAGCAGTTTGCCTGCATGGAGGAAAGGCCCTGTGAGGACACAGGGAGAGGGCAGCTGTCTGTCTACACACCAGGAAGAAAGTCCTCACCAGATACCAACCCTGGACAGCTCCTTGATTTTGGATTTCCAACCTCCAGAACCGTGATTAATACATTTCTGTGGTTTAAGCCACTCAGCCCATGGTGTTCTTTTATAGCAGCCTGAGCAGACCAATAACAATATTAGCAGTAATTAGGTGCTTACTGTGGGGCCTGAGATGCATAGGAATTGAACAGGCTGTTTTGTATATGAGTATTTTTCTTTTTTTTAATTAAAAAAAAATGTTTAAAAATTCTTTAAACTTTTTATTTATTTATTTTTTTAAGACAGGGTTTCACCATGTTGGTCAGGCTGGTCTTGAACTCCTGACCTCAGGTGATCCACCCACCTTGGCCTCCAAAGTGCTTGGATTACAGGCATGAACTGCCACGCCCAGCTGGCTTGTATATGAGCATTTTTAGGGTAGAATTCATAATTCTAGAGTTTAGATCTGTGACTTTCCACCCCAAAGTCACAAACCACTGCTCTAATCCAAATCTATTATTTCACAGTTAATACCTCTCACCTAAAAGGGCTTCACTACATAGGCTGCTTTGTATCAAGGCTTGGTTTCCCTCTGACCCTTTAAGATAAAAATCATTCTTAGCTTGAGGCCATACAAAAATAAGCAGTGGGCCATAGTTGTCTGATCTTTACCCTGAATCCCTAAAAAGATTTTAAATCTAGATCTGTCAACAAGCAAGGCACCGAGCTCATTTTCTTTTTTCTTTCTTTTTGAGATGAAGTCTTGCTTTGTCACCCAAGCTGGAGTACAGTGGCACAGTCTCAGCTCATTGCAACCTCCACCTCCTGGGTTCAAGCCATTCTGCCTCAGCCTCCTGAGTAGCTGGGTCTATAGGCGCCTGCCACCATATCCAGCTAATTTTTAAATTTTTGTAGAGATGGGGTTTGGCCATGTTGGCCAGGCTGTTCTCAAAATCCTGACCTCAAAGTGAACTGCCAACTCAGCCTCCCAAAGTGCCGGGATTACAGGCGTGAGCCACCACGCCCTGCCACTCGGCTCTTTCTCTACCATCTTGAGTTGCAGCCTATGGCAGGCATACTTGACAATAATAACTCAGGCAAACCCTGGGAAGTGACCCTGGGGCCTAAGAAGAATCTATGTTTGGAGTTCCAAGTTAAGGAATCCAGGTGTGGCCAACCCAGAGACTCACTCCTTACCAATGAAGGACATCTGTACCCCTTGCCCATTCCTTGGAATGCAGGCTGTACAGGGGATGGTGGCCCTTTGTATTGGGTTAAGTGGAAGTTGCTAGGTAGAAGTTGCTAAGTGAAAATGATATGTTAAACTACATGCTTTTTAAAAACAGTAGCAATTTTCCTGTCCTGCCCACTGCTCCTGGACTGTCATGTTATGTAAATCCATGATAAACCCCAGGTCTCATTCACTGACTCCGCATCTCTTCTTCAGCCTCTCTCATATGGCACCATCCCCACAAGAGTCAATAGTAGTCTGGCACAAGTAGTAGCCATTAAGCAGAGCCATCTCATGCTTGTTTAACATTTGGAAATCTGCAATGAAAATTATCAAGTTTTGGCTGGGTGTAGTGGCTCATGCCTGTAATCCCAGCACTTTGGGAGGCCAAGGCAGCTGGATCACTTGAGATCAGGAGTTTGAGACCAGCCTGGCCAACATGGTGAAACCCTATCTCTACTAAAATTACGAGAGAGAGAAAAAAAAAAAAAAAACGCTGGGCATGGTGGCAGGTGTCTGTAATTGCAGCTACTCAGGAGACTGAGGCAGGAGAATCGCTTGAACCCAAGAGGCGGAGGTTGCAGTGACCCGAGATTGTGCAACTGTACTCCAGCCTGGGTGACAGAGTGAGACTCCATCTTACAAAAAAGAAGACAACTGGGCTGGGTGCAGTGGCTCACACCTGTAATCCCAGCACTTGGGGAAACTAAGGCAGGAGGATTGTTTAAGCCCAGGAGTTTGAGACCAGCCTGCGCAACAGGTATACTCTGTCTCTACAAAAAAAATAAATTAATACAATTTTTTTTTTGTAATTTAAAGCACATAAACAAATAAATAAAATACTTTATGGACAAGCAACTTCTGAGAGATTTTGTCACCACCAGGCCTGCCTTACAAGAGCTCCTGAAGGAAGCACTAAACATAGAAAGGAACAACCAGTACCAGCCACTGCAAAAACATACCAAATTGTAAAGATCATCGACTTTGAAGAAACTGTGTCAACTAACCGGCAAAACAACC